TAGTCATGTCTGATGAATGTGTATAATTATCACTCAATAAGAAGAAGTAACTCGGCAATTTCTTGATGGAAAAAGGTAATGCTGGCTAAACTACTCAAGTGCTTTAATTTGAAGGATCATATACATTGAGCGAAGTACTATGGCAGACTGAATGTGTTGTTCAAAGAACATGCACCTCCGGGTTCATTGAAACGTCGAGATTTACTTAGATAGACAGCAGTAAATAATACTGATAACAATATATAACCTTTCTGATGAGACGATCTACTTTTGTTTGTTCATGCTAAATTGGACACATGTCCATAGCAGGCACCATGTTCCCCTGCCTTGTACTCAATAGCTCAGTGAATATTTGCCATATTCCTTTGAGTTTGGATATCGACAGAAAGAATCCGTTTCCGTATATGAGGTTGTAAGTATTTTTCTGTATTTTTGTACACTGCTTACAGCTGCAATGGACAAAATGGTGCAGTCAATGAGACAGTGGTTTAATAAATGTCAAAAGGCTTCAAGTAGTTATCTTCGTGTGACGCCATAAGGATGTTCACAGCAGGTCGCACGATTGTATAGGAGTTGCTTGAAGACAGATTCAGTGACGTCTGAGGAAAGTACTGGTGAAATATCGTAATTCCGATCAACCAACAGGTTTTCAAGATTCTATTAACAGTGAGAATAGAGGAAACGGAGAGCGAGGTACCAAGGCACAAGGAAGCTAATTATGTGCAAATTTAAACTAATGTACATGGTGTCATGCCTACTATTAAATGTACAGTTCTAGGTTTCATGATTGTATCCTCATTAAAAATATGCTATTCACAGTGTTTTGTAAGTGCCATTTTCGAGGGGCTACATCTGAGGATGTCTCCGGCAGTGGTGATAACAAGTGGTAGGTATGCATGGACAACTTAATTAACGAAGCGCATACAGAGAAGGAAAGTTAAGTAGGAAGAAGCATGAACATAGAAAACACTCTCCTCGTTTGAATTCTTGCTTTCTCTGCCTGCTGCCTTGTCTGTTTTATTCTCGTTGCAGGAAAATAATTCACTTCTGAGCGTTGGCTTGGTTGCCATCGGGAATTAATTACTTAGGGACAGACCTTGACTGAAACTACCCTTCGTGGAGGGTAACCAGTCTTACCAGGTTCAGAATACTTAACCACAACAAGCGGAAATAAAAACGCTCACTGGACTACAACTTCATAGTTATCAAAATCTAGGATTTACTCATCATAAAAGTGACTAGCGAAGCCCAACACTCACCAGCTGCGAGGCTGTCACAACCCGTGAAAATGAAGGACAAGATGTCCTGGAAGTCCACTTGGCGCGTTCAAATAAGTCTGTTGCCTCTGGATGCCGGAGTTGGAAAAGTGAAGACATTTTGCTTTTAGTCATAATATTCATCAAGATTATGAATCTTCGTTGTGGAATGGTGTTAACATGCATGAATTATACAGTCCTGGGACCATGAATGAAATACAATGTGTAAAAAATTCGTGCATACATTCCTTCATAAACTTCCCACCATTATCTCGGGCAGAAAGTACAAACTGTCACAATGGAAGTATTAACTTCAAGTTTTATTTTTCTCCAGGTAATACCTGCAATGTCTGGATACGGACCTTGTTTTTTTGTCAATGGGTAGACGATACTTCCACTTGTGCGACCTGTAAATTTTCCGCATACTTATTCTGGTGACAACGGGTGGGGATTGCGATCATCTTTCGTGGGGATACATGTAATCTATGTATAAGCTTATTCATACCCGTAAAAATGGTTTGTGCCTGTATATTCGGGAACAAATATTATGATTATTTTTATAAATATTATTGATTGTCCCTGTGATGAATAGGGAAGAGTGTGGATTTACTGATAAGGGTATTTCACCCCACACATTCAAGAGGCCTATTATACTAAGCGTTGTGAGGCACATTTGTGATTCGTTCTGCATGTTGGAGAGTTCGACAGAGGATGGGAATCTTTCTAACACACGACTAAATTGGACAGTTGAGCTCGAATCTCTGGTGTCAACAGGAAGATGGTTCCATATTTTCGAGTGTTTAATAAGGAAGAAGTTAGCTAGGTGGGATATTCTAAAAGGTTTCATTTCAACACTGTGGGCTTGATTGCGGAGTGTAGCAACCTTCAGGTATGAAAAGGGCTTCCTCACTATCTGCAAGGGATATTTTGCTTAAAATCTTGAGGAAAAACGCAAGTTCAGTCTTGAGACATCTCATCCAAATTGGTTGCAGACTGGGCGACGTACACCGAGATGCATAATCCTGACAACATTCGCAACCGAGTAGCCCGGATGTAAAGTACCCCTACACACTCTCACTCTTAAGTATGTCGTCTATACGGACGCCCCCCAAGATGAACGAACAGTATTCTGACAGGGTCGGATGTAAGTTTTGTACAGCAATAATTTGGCTTCGTGGTAATGAAAGTTACGAATTGTACAGCCTGGTAGTATTATGGACCTACTAGTTTGTGTTGCAACATGTTCAAAGAATGTAAGGTCGTTGGAGTAGCGGAGACTAGGTAGCAGAGACAAGTGTAGACAAATGGATGGTGATCCAAAGCATATACACCACACTTATCTAAGTTGAATTGGAGGTTGCATGTGGTGGACCAAGTGGTTACTAGGTCAAGTTCACTCTGTACCAAACTTTGGAAGTAGGGCAGGTCGTCACATAAGAATGTGTACCCAAAATTTAGATCGCCAGCAAACAAAATTGGGTTGAGTAACCGAAAAGCATTTGCAAAGGTTATTGACATAGGGGATGAAAAGAAGAGGACCGAGCACGCTACCCTGAACTACACCAGAAGTAATGGGCCTAGGTTTAGAAAGCTGAGACTTGATTTTTACAACTTGTGAACGGTTACAAAGAAAAGGTTTGATCCTGCCTAATAGGTGGTTAACAAGTTTAAGGGCTTGTAGCTCATGGATGGGTAGTGAATGGTCCACGCGGTCGAATGCCTTAGAAATATCAAAATAAATGACGAGGACTAGCTTACGTTGATCACGGCTAGCGGTTAAGAAGTTAAGGAAATCGAAGTGACAGGTCGTACATCATCGTGACTCCAAGAATCTGCACTGACTAGATGTGACGACATTATTGTTGAGCATATGTTGGGGAATATCTTCTCTGACTACTTTCTCCATAACTCTAGACACTACTGGTGTGAAATTTATAGGTCTGTAGTTATTAACTTCAGTTGTTGAACAGGATTTGTGTCCGGGTATTATGAAGGACACCTTCCATATATCGAAGTATGTAGGAGTCCCCATGGCTACGGAGTATAGTTCAAGTAGTAATAGCGAAATGTCAGGACCCCCATTTTTAACCGGCGACGCAAACAGACAACGCTTACGCTCACTTGATATAATAATACCATGCTACACCATTTGCATTTGATGCTTTCAGTCTAAGTGTTCGTTGTGGCTTGGTGGATTGAACAGATGGTGAACCCATCTGTTTTCTTTATCTCTGACTAAAAGGCTGTCTCAATCACGGGATAAATACGCAGGCCCCCGCGCATAGTGAAAGTAGATTACAACACAAAAAAACAGATTTGAATCTAAAATGAGATCGGAAGCATTCAATAAATAGCGACAGATATTATTGGTTACCACGTTCTTCCTTTTGCCCGTGGAACAAAACGCAAGGCAGTTGGTTTGGAGTGAATATTCAGGACATCAGGTCAGACTGCTGATAACCGATCCCCTAGCTTTTGACTAAAGTTTGGATTCTAAGTCTTCCAAGTGTTCTGTAAATCATAACGAAATAATTAAACATTTTAACATATATTATAATGACTCGCCTAAGGGATGTATCATGCTTTCGAAATTTCCAGGACATGTAATCACCTTGTAAGGCTACATTTTTAGGTGACGTCAGCGAGTTTGGAAAATGAAGCTCAGATTCCTCTCCAAATTTTTGGCTGCGCGAGCCACGTATTCTACGTCACAGCATTGAAATATACCATCAAAACCAGTAATTCGGATTCTGCGCCCCGTTTCTTCCAGGACATTCGTATAAGCTACGGCCTGGATGTTTATATGCAATCATCTGTCAAAAGGTTTCCATTCCCCGTGAATAAGAAACGATTTATTTCACCTACTCCTAGGCGCGAAAGTTTCAAATGAAGAAAATCACGCTTCAAAGAAAGTTCACTTCGTCCTAAGAATGTCTATCTTTGCCTCATACGAAGTTCCGAAGGGATTGTAAAAAATGAAACGGTGACTAGCCATGTGGCACACGAGGAAAAATTGCGGCTAACAAGCATCGCGCACGCTGCCTAACATAGAAATACCAAGAGCTCTGAATAGGATAACTAACGAGTTGGTGGGAGGATTATGGAGTACAAAACCTAATGAGTAAACAAAGATCTATTTTCGGTTTTACTTTGAAAGTAGAAGGAACACACGTGGCCTTGAGGTGCGAAGTTGTTACTGGGCGTTCCCGTACGCTGATGAGGCACAAAAAATTTCAGCCACGACTGAAGATGTGATAATCAGGGTTTGAATTGTAGAATTTGATTGTTGGACACCTGTGAACACTGGCCTGCCTTCTGAGTAGCACGATTTAATCTGCGGACGTAATGAAAGAAGGACTAGAAATATAAATTAAGCTTGTTTATAATGTAACAGAACCACTGTGAATCCCACTATTTAGGGCCGACAACTGCGGTTTGCTAGTGAACCCGTATCGCATCTCTTCATTTGGTTTTCATAGAAGATAGGCTTTCATTTGGACATTCTGTTTGAAACTGAGTACTCACCTATTTGGATGTTACGGTTCGCAGACGACATATCTCAGCATATATGTGAGACACCAGTGACTCAGTACATCTAGCGCTTTCTCAAATTTGTCTTCACGAGTAAGTCCAATGCGAAAATATTTCGCTTGCATTCATTTAAATAATATCGGTCATTGTAGCCATTGAGAAGGATAACGTAAGCTAGGTACCATAGCATTAAAAGTTTGGGGAGTTTTGAAAATGACGCAAGATGCACAAGTTCTTCAACAACACAATACGGAAATGGTGAAATGTAAAGTGTTTTTCTAGTGGTATATAACAGCAGCAAAGTGATAGATGACCTGTGCCAGAAACGTGATCAGCTGCAGAAGGCAATTATAGAAGAAGACGATGAAAAAAATCGTCTTCAACATGACATGAGAATTATTTCTGAAAGACTTGCGAAAATTAACGAATCGCTCAGCAAGAAGCTAGTTATCCGAAACTCATATGATAAAGCAATTGCTGAGTCCCAAGAGGCTTACTCAAAAGTAACTTTCGATCATAATTTATCTAGATAATGCAGTTACTAGATAACTCTCAAGTGCTGCTGAATATATTGCAAAGAAACCATGAAAAAATCAACGACAAGTTTGTCAAAAGTTACAATTGCTAACTGGCTCTCGCTGAGTTTTTACAGACTTAATCTTTCTCTAGTTATTGAGAAGTATTATGTCATTGACCAGAAATTCTATCTTTAAATTCTTCAAATGTAACCTTCCAGATTATTACGTTTTATCATTGATTTAAATTTTGGTTGTCCTTTAGTACTCATAGATATCGCAGGTTTACAAATCGGTAGCAGCCACTAGTGACTAATGAATTCTATTATAATATATAATATATGACTTTCAAATAATGATGAGTTTCTCAGATTGTTTTGTCATATATACTTCTTGTTCAGAGTTTTGGATTACTCACATTTTAATCTATAAAAAAGATGAGTTGACTGACTTAAGATTCCGATCCATTTTCCATTAATGAGTCTCTAAACAAGAGTATTGTATTGTTTGCACTAGAACGAGATAGTTGGTCAATATGACATCAGTGTTCATCGGTTCAAGTTGCCACATCTCATATCGGCAAATCAAACCAGAAGGTCCTAGAAAGAAAAATAGGGAAATAAGAGAGAGAGTAGTCAGAAGTGATAGGAATTCATGAAAAGAGAACAAAAAATGAGACAGTAGTTTCAGATGATGATAGTCTGTCAGTACATCTCCGTTATTGAGACTTATTCAAATTTATGTCACCTAACGATTTTTATTTACGTGTGAACCCGAACCTAAAAGTCTTCCTTCTCATACACTGTTCAGACCAACAACCAAAGACTTCATGGCCTAATGCTGTGCTTTAATCCGACCTCCAATAAGCTTATTTCAACCTGAAACCGCTTCAATCAGTATTGTGTTACGAAGAAAGCGATGGGTAGGCACGCTTATCACATGATGCAGCGATCTGAGTCAACGTAAGTTTACAGCTCCAACGACTAGCTTTCCTCTTCTACACTGAAAATCTCAAACTTGAAAAAAAGGCCTTGGTTGGCCGGCTTCAAGAGCATGTCCCTTGGGCTCTGGTGTCACGTACTATCTCCTCTGTGTCAGGTACCTCAAGATAAACTAGTCTTTCGTAGCGTGGGCGGCCGAGAGGTGTCAACCGCCTGCACACTTCCATTAGTACACAAGATCCAATCAAAAATAGCCTATCCCTCTCAACTCTGTTTCCTCCTTTGCCTTCACCTCCTGATACAAATATCAGGCCCCTTACACCTTCTCTAACCTCTCACTGTACAACCATTGCCGACGGTCAAAGCCATCGAAACCTCATTCCTAGTCTCCTAAGGTGCGCCACCGGTTTCACGTAGGAGCATTCAACGTCTCAACAATATGCCAAATCGGACAGCAAGCATTACTCACCAAAACTCTTAAATCTCTAGTTATGGATGTACATTATATCTCTGAGACACGTATACAGGACCCAAGTAGGGTTATTAAATTGATCTCACCTGACCATAGTAGTGAATCTTCTAAACTCACCTTAGGAGTATCCGTCGACACAATGGCCAGCTTTCATGGACTCGCTAGTTTGGGTATAGCATTGAGTTGTAGAGAAGGAAGTGGTTTCTCGACTGGATACCAGACAACAGTCGTTTACGTGCTGTTCGACTGAATGCATCTGTAAGAACTAGTGGGGATCGTGAGACTAGGCGATGTCTAATCGTAATCCCCGCCTACTCACCAGTTGACTTCAGCTCAGGTGATGCAAAAGGTGAATTCTATGGGCTGTCAGTTTTGCTACGGAGGGCAAAATGTTCTGATGTAGTCATAGCAGAAGGTGACTGTAACGCTCAAGTAGGTAAGCCAAGCCAATCGGAAAGGCATCTTGAGGATATTTACGGAGTCCAATACCAACGAACCAACAACGGTGATCGTCTGTTGCAACTTTGCTCAGACAATCACCTGTTTCTGGTCGGCATGAGGGGAAATGCTACCTCATATGGCGTCCAACGACATGAAACTAATGATGGACACCAAGCAGGTATTTAGTGAGGAGTTAGCTAAGCATTTATCTGAACTTAACAGCAGTGCTGATCCCGAAGAAACCTGGCATGATATTAGGCCTGCGGTAGACAACTGGTAACCTGCACCCAAAGATTAGGAAGCATCACTGGATTTCAGTAAAGTTATCCGGACTGGCTGATACGAGAAGACTGATTCCATCTGACTACGATGATTAGGGAAAACAATTTAGACGTAAATTAACCACTGTTCTGTGCCATGATCGCGAAAAGTGAAAACTAGTAAAAGCAAGAGAGATGGAGAATACATCTGTGTTACTTAGTACTTGGCAACTATTTAGGCTTATCAAGGATATCGGCAAGAAGTAGAGGATGGTTAGTGAAACCATAACCAAAAAGGATGGGACGCTGATGACCTCCCAGAAAAAGGCGGCTAGTGTTGGTCAAAACATTGTGAAGGAAAGTCCAACTGGTCCCCAGCAACGCTTTTGTTGCTCAACATACAGCCTGAATCTGAGTGGGATGTAGATATTGGTCCTTTAACTTTGCTTGAAGTTGAGAAAGCTGTACTAAACCTGAAACGATGGAAAACATCAGGAACTGACAGTTTGCCTTCCAAATTTTTTTAGGGTGAAAGTAGGAAACTGCTAAATAGGATAACCGAGGTATAAGGTGGTGTATAGGAATCGGAGGTAGTGCCGTCAGCCTGGTCTACTTCACTGATCTTAAGAAGCGGTTTTTACGAAGCTGCGAAACGTCAGAAAGCTTTAATTTTATGCCTCATTAAGATTTTACAAATATATTTCTTTAATAACCAGGGGGGAATTAATTTAGCTGATATTGTGTCCAAGGTCCTAGAGTCCACAGCTTTCCGACGTCTTACTGCGGCTCGAGAACAGCAACCTTCAGAAAACCGGGTAGGAATCAGACAGCTAGACGAGGGTGCGTCGATTATATTTTCACCCTATAACGGATCCTGAAACTTAGGCATACCAACAAGTGGCCAATACTTGTCATGTTTCTTGGCATGAAGGCCGCATTTGACTCTGTCGACCGTGAGGTGTTGTGGCAGTGTCTCAATGTGTAACAAGTTACGAATAATTAAAAACGCCTATCAAACTTTTCCACTTGAACTCCAGCAGTCGTGTCAGGCCTTAGGGACAGTCGCCATCAAAACTTATGATATCTAGTGGTGTTCGCCAAGGATGCTCACTGTCGCAGTTCTTATTTATCTTCGACATAGAAGTACTAATGGACATAAATTTATAGACCTCTGATTTCACGGGTACAGGCCTACTACCTGGGGTGCATTTAGTTGATTTAGAGTATACAGACTATATTATTCTGCTAAGTAAAGACACTTAAAAAATGCAGGGTCTTCTAAACGCGATGAGCAGAAATCTGTTTTTGCCATGTGTCTTACACATGTCAAATGTAAGATGATGCACCAGAACTGGCCTGAAACCACTTAGTTTAATGATAGGAAGAGAAGTGATGAAATGCATCGACCACTTAATATACTTGAGAAGTTGCACCAGCCCGAACGGACTGGTTGTTGACAAAATCTAAGCTGGGATACAGAAAACACGTTTGACATTTGTCAACTTGCGTCATCTGTGGCACCGACTGGGGAGATATCCGACTATGCATCAAAGTAAGAGTACACTGCACTGCAGTTTATCCTGTCATGTTATATGGGCAGTCAAAAGCAGAAGACATAAATCGACTACTGGGTTCTGATCATAGATGTCTTCTTAGCATTACTCGCGTTTGGTGGAATCACCGTGTGAGCAATGTTAGGCTCAAGGGAAAGGTATTAGGAAAGATGAACAAGTATGTAGATGAATTTGTTAAACTTCGTCGGCTGAGGTTGGTTGGACATGTACTACGCATACCAAGCCACTGCTTTCCTCGATGTGTCATGCTAGAGGGAATTGGTTTAGGTTGGACGACAGTTCAGGGTGAACAGTTCGAGCTGTAGCACCAGTCAACTGAGTCCCTAACTGTTGATCTGGGCCATGTGGAGTCGACTCCCTGGCGTGAAGGGAATCAATGGTTGAGGATTCCTGGTGACATGGTTGAAAATCAGTGACAATGGAGCAGACGTACTCACTCTTTGACGTCTTCTAAAGCCTGAATATTTGCACTAACTGCTATCTTCAGATTGTCTGTTCTCTCATACTACTTCATCTATTGTGACGTCACTTTTATTCTATTCGCCTGTTCTTCGTATACTGAAATGTGGCGACTTGAATCGATTTACTTGTATGTGAGGTTGTATTGATTCTTTCTGTCTTCCACACTATAACGAGGCGATTCTAGATAGATGGATACTTTTGTTGTGAAACCCTAAAGAATATGAAATGACACGTTGAAAGCTTCTATTCTGCGGATGTTTACTTAAAAATAAATGCAAATATATCTTCAGGTTACTAAGAAAATAATCAAGGTGTTGACTTTTTATCTGGCAAACATTTCAGCCATGTATATTTTCTTCACATATTGCATTGACAAATTTGAAATTAAACTGACAGCAAAATAACTAACTAGTTATAAATTAAGTGAAAACAATAAATGGTCCTCGTATTTTTTTTCTGCTGCAGCTAATTTAGTAGACTTTACTGATCACTGTCAGTTTTAACAGAGTCCATGTTGTCGACAATGATATCTAATATTTCCGTTTAGCGTTTTCAGATTTGCACGTTTTAATGAATCATCCATAATATACGTAAACTAACAGCAGCTAAGTGGTCCAGTTTCCTACTTCTGTCAGTTCGCGATATAGCGCAACTATCACCCAAGGTAGTAATTTAACAAGAGTTGGAAACTGTGAACCAATGAACATCGATCCAGTGACTGAACGGTTAACGCGTTCGCCATGAGACCTGAACGTCTTAAATTTGATCCCTAGCCGGGTCATGGGTGCGTACTGCTGAGTTCCACACTAAGACAAAACGGCTATTCAATGCTCCCAGGTTTCCAATGGTTCTTCATTTGACGTCAGTCCGTGATGAATACTATTTCAAAATTAAAATCCCCATTCACATCAAAATACATTTGTAAAATTCCAGTGAGGTGAAAAAGTTAATTTCTGATATTTCACGACCTCGTTGAATCTGCTTCTCCATCTTTGCATGTATTTTTTAACCATATCCTTCGTTGTTTACTCCCCGTTTTGACTCACATTGTTATAAGTTTTATCATTAACCTTAGATTCAGTTTCTGTTTAATATTTAAATACGACTAGAAAGACAGTTTGATACTAACCAGTGTATAACCAAAAACCAGGATCTAATTAGTGAGCGATATATTCATTCTTTCACTCCAACATTTACTACATATCTGAATAGGGATTTACTCGCTATGTTAGCCATAGACAGCGTGACAGTTGTGAGCTTGTGCACATGACTGACTGACAAAATCAACGTAGTACAGCTCGTAGTAGTACACAAACAACAGGTGGATAGAATAAAAATGATGTCAAAGTAGATAAAGTTGTATGAGACAATAAACAATCTGACGATAAAGGTTAGTGCGCATATTCAAGCTTCAGGTGTCAATGAGTGAATACATCTGCGCCATTGAAAGTTTTTTACCTCGTGCCTTACGTTGGCTGCTGTATTTCAGCCGCTTTTATGGGCTGATAAGTGAAGGGGAAGTTTTGAGAAAAAAGTGTTTGTTCAGATTATTTTTGTCCTACATAATCTATGGGGATCTTTAAATCACTGAAATTTGGATCTTCTTCGCTGGTTTCTAGACAATTTCGGTTGTTTAAGAATAAAGTGGGCCAGTGAATGAGGTCGAAGAACTTAACCAAATAAAACCATTTCAGCGCACTTCAAACCACAGTCTACAACACCATTTGACGATAACTGAAATGTAGCTAAATTAGAAAGAAGACAAAACATGCTGCCGGCCAACAGTCTTTGATTAAGAAATTTAGTCTGCTACTTTACCGAAGCACAGTCCTAGGGATAGCTATGGTATAAGTTTTGAATAAACTAGGTGGCATGACTCAACACAAATTACAATAGACAAAATCTATTCGCACTTCATTTTCGCAAAAATACTTGAATATCTCATTCCCCTATATCTACTGGTTAGCTCATTTTTTATTTCATTCTTTTCAGGTCAAGTCTTTTTCACTTACTTTACTGATTTATTATTTTTTTGATCACATGTGATACAATTTTGTGAAGGTTATAACACCACTACGTCAATTTTACATCACTTGTCTATTCAAACATTTTCATAAATATTCTTTTCGATAACTTCTTCAGTTGTATGTTCATATTGAGAAATTAGGCGTTAACAATATTTTGATCTTGCTTATCAGTTCGTTAACATTATACAGCTGAGGAAGTCAATTTAGAAACGTATTGTTATCAACACTAATGATAAAATCAATCATTACTGGGATTCAATGCAAATTAATTCATTATCTAAACGATTATACTGCGTAGGTAATGCTAACAAGTGATAGCTTAGTAAAACGGTTGGAAGGTGCTTATGAAATAAATTAAGATAATAGAAGGAATAATAGGTTGATAGGATGCTACTCATTTTGAGATACAACGTAGGTTGGGAGGATTTTTAAAAATTATTTCAGACTATAGAGATGAAGGGGTATCTACCGTATGGAACTAGATTATCAGGGGTAGGATGGTAATGAATTTTTGAGTTTCAAACTGGCCCACAGTAGTTGTAGCGCCAACAAGTGCTTCTTTTGAACACATACCTCAGGTTGTTTGATCCTGATTGCTACGGCTTCTGCAGTTTGAAGGATCCTCAGCCGTTTACCTTTTGGAAGGTTGATGGGAACACAGTACGGAGTGGACAACGACTCATTCATATCCACCCTATGGTTCGTTCCAACTAAATATGCTAATATGGAGCTGGTAATGGTCTTAACCACACTGGAAGGTGTTAGCGAGCACGGAAATTAAATTCATTGGACAGGGGGCAATGTAACTGGCTCTACAGGAGCAGTGGAGCTGGAAGTGGCCAGTATTAGAAAATCACCTTTCAGTCTCAGTGTCACCATTGGGAGTGTGGAAAACGAACTTTGTAGTTTACTAGCTTTGAAATTGATCTGAGTCGTTTGCGAATTAATATCTCGCTGAGAACGTCACCTTTAAATTCGCTTGATCTATTTTGTCCTTCAACGTGAGTAACATTCTATCAAACTATTATTCCTCAAACTATCTTTCTTACTTTATTTCATCCAGCTCTCATAAACGTCTTACTATTGTTTTATTAAACTATCACACCATGGTGTTACACAAGCTGTATACTCGTTTAAATAATCAATTATTTTGCATCGAGTCCTGATAACAACTGATTCTGTCATAAAAATTTACCCAGGACCTATCTGAATTGTCTTCTTAAACTCTTTGATATCATTAACAAACTGATCATCAAAATCTCAATATTGTTGATGTATAATTCTTCAATATGTAAATATAACTGGATGAAGCCAAAGAAGAATTTATCGAAAAGAATATTCTTCATCACTAAAATGGCTTTCGAATTGGAATGAGAATTCTGAATAATTTCAGTATATAATGATTAAAAAAAAACAACGCTCAGATGAGTACAGTATCAAAATATATCACTGGAATAAAACCGAAATATAAATATGAATGCAGATGCATATTTATACATGTACAGAATTATGCAATAAAAAAACGAGTACAAATAAGGGGAACAAAGGTAAGACAAGTTACAAGAATGCACTAGCTATTTCATAAACAGTAGAGAAGGAAAAAAAAACCCGCATAGAAGTAGAAAACAATTTTAGGCCCATGCTCTAAATACTAAGCGTCTGTTAGCGAGACGATACGAGATAATCGAAGCAACTATCATACCCAACGTAACAGTTGCTATTGCAGTGTAATCAAAGTCTTCTTTGAGTAAATCGTATGTTTGTGATGGAGATATTCGAGTGAAAAATACATCTGAAAAATGAAGTAACAAAGTAGAAATGTTTGTGAAAATTACGTTAAGACTGTTAGATGTCGAAAAATAGCAATTGATTCATGCTTCAATGTAAACTCAGATCTTTTCATAGTGTCATGCTTCTACTGAGTTACAATTAACTATGATTACAAAGAACAATTAGAAGGGCATAATTCTCTTTATGACATCTAATGACAATTATCAGACCTGGCTAAAGAAAAATGCACAGTACTTCAATGATGTAAACTAACAATATTCAGCACTGAAATGGTTTCCAACCTCTTCCAGGAAAATCAACATCTGTCAATGTTATACACTTCTAATTTTGTCTGATATTTCCCTATTACCTTGAAATAACTTTAATATTGATGTTTTCTCGCCATTTTGGCACCGTAGCCAATTTTTGTTTTTCTCACTGCTCCTAAAGGCTGAACTCTCATTGGTTGTTGAGACAGTAAAAGCTCTCTGACAATGATCCGTCTTCTCGTGTCTTTGCACCCCGGTGCTGTTATTGTTGTAGCGGTTGACGCTGTATTTAGCGATAAAAGTAGATTCTTTTGCGCGTTAAGTTCGTATTGCTCGTAGACTGCTAGGTCGCATTACCGGTCATAGCAGTCAGGATGCAAATGTTTCTTTCTGAAAAATGTTAATGTGCATAAACCTGAAGTCTTAAGCTTCTTACTAACTAAAAAGTTATTAAAATCAAGAGCAGGATAACTACTTTGTATATAAAACATACAAATGTTGGTTTGGTGAGATATATGCTACTAATATTCTTCCTAATAAATAAATAGTCTATAAACTGTGCATTGAAATCGAAGCGACAATTAGATTGTTAAAACAAATTACATCGTTTTGACATGCTGACAGCAAAAATAACCGAGATTAAAATCACGAACAAACATATCAATGATTAAAGCTTACCAAGTCCATATGCAAATACTAATCCAGTGGATTCAAGACCTGTAGGCGCTGTACGTATAGCTCGAATCCGCATTACCGATTGATTATATGAAATCATAGCTTGATCAGAGAGTGGAAGTACAGGCGCATACGGATGAACACCTTCTTCCCTATATTCAGTATAATTAAAACACACTGAGAAAATGAAGTAGTAAAATAAACTTGGGATTTATAATTGGGAGCATCTTTTAGATTTGTAATAATAAATGAAGCCTGAAGCTGATTACGATTCCATGAGTTCCTTGCAACTTACTTATAAACCACGGTGGAAACTAATGACATGTAGTCGTGACAGTTACAAATATAACATATGAATACGATGTCGTGAAAAGATGTCAAATAATTTGCAACTCATGAAAAACTTTACCCACTGTAACCGTAGTAATACACCTTTCCTTTGGTATACCATATTCCGCTTCATCTTGATAATGTTTATTATGGTTACTGTTATTACAACTACTTCACATTCATTTTGACAAATATCAGTCTACCTTTGGATCAATCTTTTTTGTTTTTGAATAAACCTTTCAGTATTTCATCCACTTGAACTCTTCTATCACCATCACTTTTATCATGTGTAGATTGGTTGACCATTTCTCGGTGGAGTTGACTGACACTTTACCAACTATAAATAACAAGTGTACAGCGTGATAACAAAGTTCAACATTTTGAGAAATGGATGACATCGTCTATCGTGATGTTAGAGTTACGATTTCGTACGGATACATTATTATTATTATTAGTCCCTTGGGTTCCTAGTGGAACATAGGGCTTCAGTAGCACGCCTCCAGTGACCTCTGTTCTCTGAGATCTTTTGAACCTGGTTCCACGACAGCCCAGAAGCTCTCATTTCCTCCTCGCATGACCTCCTCCATGTCACCCTCGGACGTCCAACTCGTCGCTTCCCATGGGGATTCCACTCGAGCAACTGGCCTGACGCGTGATGTCCTCAGTCGGCCTTCTCAGTGCATGGCCAATCCATCTCCACTTCTTCCTGCATATTTGTTGCGTGATAGGTTCTTGGTTGGTTCGTTCCCAGAGTTCCTTGTTGCTTATTTTTTCTGGCCATCTGATCTTCAGCAGCGAGCGTAAGCAGTTGTTGATGAATGTCTGTAGTTTATTGGAAATACCTTTCGTGACGCGCCAAGTCTCTGAGCCATACAAGAGCACTGACTTGACGTTGGTGTTGAAAATCCGTATCTTGTTCCACATGCTGAGTGCAGAAGATCTCCACACTGGTTTCAGGCTAATGAACGCCTGTCTTGCTTTTCCGATTCTGACTTTGACGTCCTCGTCCGTCCCGCCTGTAGTTGAAACAGTGCTTCCTAGATAAGTGAAGGAGGTTACTTCCTTCAAGTTTCTCCCGTTGACGGTGATTGGAGTTTGTTGTTGTTGTTGATGGTGGTGGTGCGGTATCTTCATCACTTCTGTCTTCTCTATATTCACCTGAAGTCCCGTCTTAGCTGCCTCTTCTATCAACTTGTTAGTTTTTGCCTGCAGATCTTCAAGTTTATGTGACATTAGGCATAAGTCATCGGCGAAATCCAAGTCTTCTAGGTTCTTTTCCGTCGTCCAGTGTATCCCCCTCTTCTCGCTGCCTACTGTTTGCTGCATGATCCAGTCCACCACAATAAAGAATATCATGGGGGATAGTAGGCAACCTTGTTTCACTCCTGTCTTCACTTCAAAGGCATCACTGAGCTTCCCATTGTGGATTACTTGGCATGTGGCATCTTCATATAGTTGTTGAATGAGGCGGATAAAGGTTTGCGGTACTCCGTAGTATTGAAGCAGTTTCCAAATTACTTCTCGGTCGACGCTGTCAAAGGCCTTCTCAAAGTCGATGAAGTTGAGGTATAGAGCTGATTGCCATTCTACGCTCTGTTCTATGATGATACGAAGCGTTGCAATTTGGTCAGCACATGATTTGTACTTCCTGAAGCCTGCCTGTTCCGGTCGCAGTTTTGAATCCAGTGCGTCTTTAAGCCTCTCCAGGATGATGCGGCTTAATATTTTACTTGGGGTGGACAGGAGAGTGATTCCGCGCCAGTTCTTGCAAGCACTGAGGTCTCCCTTCTTCGGCAGTTTGACAAGGTAACCCTTCTTCCAATCGTCAGGTACCTTCTCTTCCCTCCACACCTTCTGCAATAGTGGTGTGAGCATGTCCGCTGTTGTCTCTGCATCTGTTCTCAGTGCTTCTGGCGGTATTCCATCTGGTCCTGCTGCTTTCCCGCATTTCAGTAGCTTTATGGCGTTCAGGACTTCCATTTTCGTTGGGGGATTTATGTTCACTTGTAATTCAGCGGCTGCAGGTGGTATTTCTGGACGAAGTGCAGGTGGTGGTCGATTCAAGAGCTTCTTGAAGTGGTCGGCCCATCGTTTCCTCTGTTTCTCTTCTTTTGTAATTAAATTTCCTTCTTCATCTTTTATTGGTTTCATCTGTGTTGGTCTCTTCCCTGATAGCAACCTGGTTATTTGATACAATGTCGTCAGGTCTCTCTTACCTGCAGCCTGTTCTGCTTCACTTGCCAGTGTGTCGTAGAAGTGTCTTTTGTCTTTGCGTGCACTCTTCTTCACTTCTTTATCCAGTGTTTTATACATTGTGCTCAGTTCCTCTTGTCGTTGAGCATCCTTGCACTGGTTTATCTTCTGCTTCACCATCCTCCTCTCCTCTATCAGCTTCCAGGTATCCGTCGAGATCCATTCCTTGTCTTCTTTCTTCTTCCTTCCTAATACTGTTGTGCAGGTTTCTTTCCACATAGCTTTCAAAGACTTCCAGTGTTCTTCCACACAGGTTTCTTCAGGGATGTCGCTCGATGTCTCCCATTTTGTCTTGATGGCTGCCTTGAAGATCTCCTTTGTAGTTTCATCCTTCAGTTTCCGAGTGTTGTACTTGAATTGAGGTCTATCACCAGCTTCCTTGAAGGCTTTTAACTTGATTTCGAAGGTTCCTTGCACTAGATAGTGGTCTGAACCTACATCTGCTCCTCTTCTTGACCTTGTGTTAAGTAGACTGCGTCTCCATTTTCTTGAGATTGAGATAAAGTCGATTTGATTTTTAGTGTGTCCATCTGGTGAAGTCCATGTCGCTTTGTGGATATCTTTGTGCCTGAACACACTGCCTCCAATCACCAAATCGTTGAATGCACAGAATTCTGCAAACAATTCTCCATTCTCATTCATTTCACCTAGCGCCTCTCGACCCATGGTTAGTTCTCTTCCCGTGTTGTCCCCTCCCAGTTTGGCATTCATGTCGCCCATTAGAATTTTGATATCGCCAACTGACGTCTTGTCCAGTGTTGATTGAAGTTGTCTGTAGAATTCCTCCTTTTTCTCTTGCTCTGCATTATTTGTAGGTGCATAACATTGTATGATTGTGACCTTTCTTCCTTTTGAGTTGAATCTTGCTGTCATGATCCTGGAGGATATTGGTTCCCACACGGATACATAATAGATATCGATTATGAACGTAAAACGATAGTGACTCTCGAAGACTTAGGCAATTATTTAGTATATCGTAATTGTTTGAGTCAAGCTTATGGAAGTATGAATTGTGTGGGTAAATACAGACTGCCTAGTTGAGGTCCCTGAGACGAAAGCAATGAGTGGTTGAGAATTCTTGGTAACATGACTGAAAACCAGTGACAATGACGTACATTTATTCACTCCTTGACATCTTGTAAAGCCTGAATATTCACACTAACCTTTATCTTCAGATTGTTTGTTCTTTCACACAACTGTCTACGTTGATATCACTCTTATTCTATTCACCTGTTCTGTGTACTGTTGTGAAATGTGACAACTTGAGCCGATGCACTTGTGTGCAAGGTTCTACGTTGATTTTATTAGTTATTTAGTCAGCTTTTAGATGTAGAGGCATGAAACACGGTTATATAGATTTATATCACAGCGATGTAAATGTCAGCATAACTGAAAGAATCTGAAAAACGTCGAGAGCTTTGATTCACTGTATAATGATTGAATGACGATGGTTGTGAGCATCGGTTATATATATCATATGTGTTTAGTAAGCCAAATGTGTATCATTAATGTTTCACCTTTCCAATGAACTTTGTACACCTAATCATAATACTTATAAACACTACCAAACAGAATTATCTGTTTGAAAATAAGCTTACATTAATTCAGGAGTAATATCCAGACTACGACGCGGATCGAAGAACGACTTTGGTAGCTCGATGAGACTGTTTTTTTGTAAAGCGACTAAAAATCGAAAAGTAAGAAGGACCTTTGAATAGTGTGAATGTAATGGTCGACAGGAAACAGAATATAAAGAAATTTTATAAATTTTACGTTCGATTAAGTTAAGAATAACGTCAACCCAGGGCAGTTGAATTACGTGTTACCACAAAAACGCCTCAATGCGTACAGATAATAAGAAATGTTATATCCGAGAGTAAATGCGTTACTTTAAAGAGTAGAACTATGAGCAGTAAGTTAGATCAAATGTTGACGCATTCACAGTCGACAGGTTATTAGTGTCGAACCACATAAACTGTTCATACGAGACGAGTCACATGGATTAAGTATTATGAAGAATTGTGTTTCATAATAGGTTGATTTTAAACAAGACTCATCGACAAAAAATGATGTGTGAGATATAATTTTTGGTGAGCCATGCTTAACATTTGGTGCGGCTAGTTTTACATCCGTATAGTACCAGATTCATAATACGACTGTGGATTGGTGATCGTTCGTTAGCTAGAGAAACTATTTTACTTCTGATTTTAGAATATAAAATGGATATTATCAGACAGTAACTGGGCAACAGTACGAAGTAGGAAACTTCTGACCAGATAAATCCTATAATTAATCTTAGAGCTAACTTACGGCGGACTAACGCTTAAAGTGCAATACATTATTCAGAATAACTTCTTGAATACAATCATTATTTAGAGGCTGCATTCAAGCAGTATAGATTGTTAGTTGTTCCGAAGGCTTATACCAAAATGATTCTCAAAATCTGCCGCCTTGTCTATTTCAGTCAGAAAATTAGAAAGTCATTACTTTAATCTAAGACGAGACACGCTTATTTTTACGTGAATCGTAGGTGCGCATAAGACGAAGCTATAAAGTTAACTTTAAGATCATAGATATTTCCACGCTGACGCAACCGAGCGTAATCAGACAAATCACATCGAAAGTAAAACAATGTGTTGAAAATTAAAAATTCTGTTCGTCAAACTGATTTGCTTCAAGTGGACTAAAGGTTCTACACAAGTCACAAACTAAGGTTCAACTAATAAGGCAACCAGTAATGAAAATTACTTCCTTATGCTTGGACAGTAATGAAATTTATTATGAAAATCAGTAGTTTGAATGCACACTTAAGTATTCTGCAATTAAGTGGTAGCAGTAAACTCATAGATAACTATTTAGATGACAACATAATTCCCAAAAGCCAGTAAACAGGCAAAATCAAAGTTAAATCTCGAACACTCGCTGGTCTGGATGGTTAGTAATCGTCGCAACGTAGAAAGCTTAGGAAATTATAAGGAACCTAATATTGGTATCAGAAAGTAAAGACAACAGAAGGGATGAAGATAGAGTATGTACGTTATTGGTTAGTTCCGCTTTGTACGTTGTTGAAAGCATGCAAGTGGTTGATACTTCTTGGCTGCCCATATTATGGAAGCTTTTTCAGTAAGGTACCTGAACAAGAAAAGTTATTATTTTTGCGTGCTCGCAGCGCTTAGAGAAATCTGCTTAAGCCTTGTCACACACGACGTTTTTAAGACTGCTGGATTGAGACTTGACTGTGTTAATGCGAAACACGAAAACCCACACCACCAGCACCGAAATACTACAGGATAGGGAGAAGTGTGCTATTTTGAGGGCCAACATTTTGAAATCATCTTTGCCACAGAAAAAGCAGCATTAGTATCATATTGCTGGGTCATCTACGGGAAACACCTTACTGCAGTCATACTTCATCCGGCCTATGATGCGACCTCATCGTCGGACACTCATCATCACATAGGGATTTACGTTGTGATAGTAAATGTTTTTTCTCTTATCATTACCCAAAAGACTTTTCTGGTATGGTTGAACCTTAAAGAAGAAGTGCTCCAGACAGCGTAGCTTATTAGGTCATTGTGTGATGCAGAAATCTAATCACCATGTCAGGGTAGCAGCTATCAAAATATGAAACAATAGGCTTTATTGTTGTAGAGAGCTGATTATTCAGTGAGAATATTCATATGATTAAAGGATCGCACCTCGGAAAGAAACACTTTGTGATTTTACAAAGTCGGATTGATATTCAGAATTATGAACACTTATGTAAACCTGAGGTTTAGGTCAAGTCTGATCATGAAAAGAATTCACTAAAGATGAAAAGAAATTTAACCAAAAATATATACAGAAAAACGTCACGAAGTATAATTTCTTGGAAGCAAAATATACTATAACTAGCTTGCTTTCAGCTCAAGTTGAATGAACAACAGTCATCACCATAATTACCATTTGACTATCTGAGATAGCCGTAGTTTGGCAAACTTGTATTTATACTGGGTGGTGATTGAAGGTGAAATGAAAATTTCGACGTCAACCGGATTCCAACCAGCGACCACCGGGGTTTCCGACCCGGCTACCTCAGATAGTCAAAATGATAATCAGTATGAAGATTCCCCTCTTTAATTCAGTTAGAATTGGAGTTGAATGAAAAGTCCTGACTAGGCAGCGAGTGTAAATATGATCAGGTGGTAGTAACGCGTCACGAATTCACATAATAGTGACTGGAGTGAAATAAAGAAATCTGATCAGCAGTCGGACCTCATAGCTTAGTTGGAAAAGCATTAGGCCGGTAACCTGGTGTCGCTGGTTCGAATCCGACCGCGGTTCAAATTTTCATTTCACTTTCAATTATCACCCAGTATCGCTATAATTCTTTATTATTCCGCTACAAATAAAGTGGAACTGCTCATCGCAAAATTGTTGGACGGAACAAAACACTATAGCGATAAAGATTCCAGAAGCATATATCTTACTGTTTGGAACCTTAGCTCGGCTTACTTACATCTCAGAATGTTGGTGCTTCCACTGAGATTCGACCTCAACACCCACTGATTCAAACAGCGAAGCATTATTTAGTTCACTAAATTACTAGTCACCTTTTGTCAAATTGGTACCAGTGGTAATTAGTGTTATTTTAAATCTTTTGAATTGTGAATTTAAAAAATTGAAATAGACAGATAAGCAGACAAAATCGACATGAGACCTGATATTACTGCTCAACGGTCCAAGTCATTGTACCTCATGACAGGGATCAGCATTGGTATATATATATATATATATATATATATATATATATATATATATATATATATACGATCCAACGTGCGATCAAGTTTCAAGCAAAACACGTAGTGTTTGGGAGCGGAATTTCCTGATGCCACAAAAAGTAGGATCTAATTCAGAAAAAATCAAAAATTCAAAATCAATTACGCTACTTTGTTACTTATACAATTTAACATGCAACTCACATATTATATTCTTAGAAGTTATCCCTCTGTCAGTAATAGAAACCGCTACTGCACCACTACGTGGTGGAGTATTAAGTATATAGGATTGTTGGAAAACTTGGGGGACTAAAGAATTTTCGCCTGTTGAACCACAGAATCCATCGACATCACTAGCACGAAATAAGGATGAGAAACGCGAACCAGATGAATCAGAAGTGGTTTTTGAAACTGATGCTCGTGAACTAGGATTAGATAACCATGAGGGGATAAGATTACTGAGGAATAATTGCCCAGGACTTGGAATTGAATGGCTGGCACATAATTCCCCAGATAGTTTTGTTGGCTCATATAGTTCTATTACTGTCACTTCGTTACGTAGTGATTTGTGGTTGTAGTAAGTATACTGAAAAGAAGGAAATTCAAAAAAAATTGTTATAATAGAATGAAGACGATGAATGAGATTCATATGGTCGAAAAAAGGAAGAATGATGAAACAAGTATAACTTAATATCAGGCATGTAAACAATGACTAGATATCATTACTTCTATTATCCTGTCGTTGACAAATGAGCTGCTGAGAGGATGCCTCAACATTTCGAGTGTTTCAATTTCCATTACTGATGGATAGGGGCTAACAATTGAGTCCAAGACTCACGTTTCTTCCTATTTGGGACTCGTCAGTTGGATGTACCCACCTCCCAGTGAGCGATGTTGTTCTCATTAGGACTCGAACCCGGTTCAGTCAACGACGGGCAAATACAAGTAACAACATGGAAGCTATACCTGTCGCACAAGAAGTGGTTATCATGACCCAGTGGCCTAGTGGATAACGCTATGGTATTTGAAGCAATTATTCCCGAGTTCGAGTTTTAGTAGGAACAACACTCACTAGGAGGCAGGTACATCCAGCTGACGAGTCCCATATTGGACGAAACGTGAGTCTTGGATTCCACTGCTAGCCACTTCCCACCACTGATATAAAATGACTACAAGGTACTAGATAAATGAAGTAATGTCCACCGGTCAATCAGACAACTTTTAGACATTTGTTAAAGTTTGTCATCCACTGACCAACGCATCTAATTTAACGTAAACGCGTAGCCGTTTCGCACACATCAGCAAATTCGTGATAGTTGAGACAGCCAAGGCTCATATTAAAAATGTGGTTACTGGTATTATATGAAGTCTATATAAGATTTATAATGAGTCACATGAATAAAATCGTTAGATACATACACCAAATCATGGTAAAACACTTATAATGAACACCCGCACTTTGTATATTAATACCCCTAGATGCTCTGATACGCGTTCACAGCCTCTGACACAGAAGTTCTATTCATTACCTTCATGTAGTGAGGTTGTTTTCAAAGATGTGATAGGGCGCAAGCGAATATCCGGCGCCTATAACCAGATTGGTGGATACTGAGAATCCACCTAGGGAAGTAGGAAAACCCTGATTCCAAAACAATGGTGCCCATGGGCTTCAGGTGAAACGAATGGCGTGTGAACCTGTTTCGGTCACCGACAACCATGCGAATGCAGCCCCTGATGTTGCTCCACTACCTTGTGGATTAAACTTTAAGTCGAAGGTTCGGGGAGTGGTCTCTTAACACAACTACCTGATCACGTCTGGGAGCCCGGGCAGTAATCCCAGTTCACATGCAAGATATGAATTATGAACTTACAATATAAAACGATTTCGGGGCTATTAATCAACTTTTCTGCGAATACTGAAGCTCTTCTCATTGCAAAAGTTTTTAACTGATTACTTTATTTATTGCTACTATAATGTTTTTGTTGTTTTTACGCACGAATTGTACTTTATTGTTACCATTTTCGCTTTTGTCTTTATTTTCATTTCATTCTACTGCTCTCGATTGCTTGGACTTCTGGTCTGTCTGTAACGTTTTGAGACGCTAAACAGTTGCCTCCATAAAACTGTTCTCCAGTGCACCATCTGACACAGATATTTTGAAACCATGCATATTGTTTAAGCTCGCCACCTTCAATGTTTGCATCTTGATGCAGATCAGACAACAGGAACGTTTGGCTACGACTCTAGAAAGCCTTGCTATTGGTATATGTTGCATCCTAGAGTCTCGTATACAAGATCCCAGTGGAGTGCTCCGAAGTATATTTCATGTGCGCTTTCTCCATTCCTCTTTGACTTTGCCATCGATGACATTCTTGAGATAACTCTGAAGGAAGTGCGTGATGGTGATGTAGATCTATTACCCGGAGGACTGCTATTCGACCTTGAATATGCGGATGATATCGTCTTACTGTGCGACAACACATATGTTACTCAAATCGCACCTAATCAGTTGGTAATCGGTGTCCGTAAGTATGGTATGTGCTTTGCATCATTAAAGTGCAAAGTACTTTTGCAAGATTGGCAGGAGCTTGTGCCCGCACTCACCCACGTTGGTGAGCCGTTAGAAGTAGTCTAAAAGTTCGTGTATCTGAGTGGTTGTGTGAGTGCTAGCGGGAGTGAGTGGTGAAATTTCCATCCGCATATCGAAAGCCAGAGTGGTATACATCAATCAGGGCCAACTTTGGCGCCGTCGCGACGTTGTTTTGACCATAAGAGGTCGGATTTACAGTGCCTCAGTGCAACCAGTTCTGCTCTACGCCTGTGAAACCTAGCCTTTCGGAGTTGAGGATGTGGTATAACTCTGTGTGTTCGATCATCGTTGCCTCCGTAGGATTGCTCGTATCCGGTGGCAACACCATGTAAGTAATTCTGAGGTAAGACAGTGTGTTTGGGGACGGAGATCGCTATTTAATAGGCAAAGTGATCTGGAAAAATTGGCTTCAGTGGCTTGGATATGTGTTACGCATGTCGTCCCGACAGCTTCCACACCGTTCATTGTTTGCTAACCCTGAAACTGGATGGAAGAAGCGGAGGGATGTTCGATGTATGACATGGCACCGTGGGATGAAAGATAGTTGCACCGGGTTAGCATCTGTTGCTGCATTGCGACTCCCTGGGTGGGGTTTGAGATATCATGCAAGTCAGTGGCTTGAGATGCTGTTAAATATGGCTCAGAGTCAAAACCAGTGGCGGTCATGCTGCAGCTTTCTTCTATCTTCTGCTGCTGAAAGGTGATGACTGTTTTGTTTGGATGAATCTTACTCGACTATCCTAATCATGCTATCCTTATTGCTTTTCTTTCTTACTTATCTACTACCTATCTCTTTATGCCTTCATAATGTTAATGATAATGGCAATAATACGCGCGCATTGGAGTCGCATAAACTACTTCAGTTAAAGTAACGAAAGGTGGAATAATAATTTTCAGTAGAACATTGAGAACAAGATAATGTCACGGAACGAACCAAAATATAATGTTGAAACGAAGCTACTTTAATATAACAATATTCTATTTGGTTGGTACTAAAGTAGATAACTCACTAAATTTAAAGTGAACTACGTGTCAATATTTCTATTCTTGTTGAGTATAAATTCTCAAGTCTGTCATTTTTATTGGTGCATCTGTCTTCTGTGTACTTATTTTACGTCGACGTCATTGTTTCTTCAATGTGTTGATGTTCCAGTAGAATTGTGGTGCCTCAAGACAAGTTGATTGATATTACATGAATAAAAAGCCTCTATAAACTTCAAATAACTAATACTAAACCAGATTTTAACACTCAACAACCAAGTTATTAAGACTGTACATATAAGTGCCACAAGTTCATAATACATGAGCATATCCAATTACCTTATTATCACTACTGCCAAATGATGAAATATGTTTAATGATTATTCAGTATATAAGTGAAAGCTTGCATATTATTTAATACTTATGACTGCCTAACTTACAATAACCCAGTTCTCTGAATGCACCAAACTGATAGGCTCAGAGCATCGACGATGTACAGCACTGTGCAATATCCTGCCAGCAACTACATCAATTAGGTAAAGCATTACAGTATTTGTTTGATTGCCAATATGTCCACCAGTAGTAAGAACTGCAATCAAGTTTGGGTTCAAATACTTGTACAGAACACTTCGATCACCCAAGACTCGTCCAACTGAATAAATATGTTCTAGAAACGAGTAAAAAGATGCAATGTAGTCTGGAGGAATGCATTAACACGACCAAGGATATATATATAATCAACAACAGGAGATGAATAATTGCTGAAGCAGAGTTCATAACTATGATTCAGAGAACGTCTGAGGAGTGAATAGCAGCTGTTAAACAGATCGACCGGAAGTTACTTATCTACTAGGTAGTATTTTAGACTGTATGCACATATTTTTGAGACAGCTCACGTTTGGTATAGCATAAGTAGTCTATATAGATGTGACCACTATTGGTCTACGTCAGTAAGGTGTATCACCATCTACTCTGTATTGGTGACTAGACTAGGATTACACTTAGAAGGCAAATGGCAGTCAGCTTGCGATACTACACATACCCATAAAGGTTTTGATTGCTAGGAGGCTACCTTACGATATCGGCTCAGATAATAGATCATCCTGCAAATGTAATGATTGGTCACGAGAGTGCAACCAATTCCATGTTGTCTCGTAACCAATCAATACATGTAACCCAGTTCTACAGGAGGTCAATCGCAGCCCGAATAGCTAAGTGGTAAAGTCACTGACTACAACATTGGGTGACGCGAGGAATTCGAACCTCAGGCGGGACAACAGTTCAGCCGAGGTTGCAGATACGCCATGCTTACGAGAGGCAACAGGTAGGAAACCTTGGACCAGGGCTTCCTGCCGGTCGCCTCCAGCCAACTAACATCTACATCTTATATATGCCATTGCAACGGTTACCAAAACCATTTACTGTTTGTTAACCTTAGAGCTGGCTGGAAGGAAGGATGTGATGAACTTACGATGTATTGTTGTGCGGTGACGAAAAATAGCATCTCTGTGTTTACGGTACGCGATTTATCGATACGAAACGAAATGAAATATAGCTCAGAATTTAAACTAACCGTGGCTGTGATGTAATCTTTATGTATCATTTATTATTGGGGAAAAATGGTGAAAACAGAGAAAGCTTTGTGACTGTATTGCATAGGATTGTTTCTAGGATCACTATTACGCTTTATCTACTTTTCTATGAATGATTTCATTATGTTTTTATTTTATTTTGTGACTTCTTGTGTGCGCTTTAAATACATAAAACTACGATAAGTTCCTGAAATTCTTGACCTTACTATTATTTTATGTTTGATTTATCCATCTAAAATCATACTTTATTTAACTTTACCACTCCCATTGTAGTTATTTCTCTTCTTTTAAATGATTGTGTAAAAGCCGGCGACTTCAACTCAAGTAGCTTTGATAAGATTAAAAGTGGTTTTATTCTATTCATTCAGACTCAATTTGTGAACATCTACGTAAATAATAAAAATATAGTGTTCAGATAAACAAAGTATTAAAGATAATCAAAGGATAGAATCAAATAAGAAACAGAAAACGTAGGTTGAATACTATTTGAGTGGGTAAGGGAACAAGACAGAGAAGCACTATGTTGTATTAAGAAGTTAGTCTGTGTATCGTTGAATTTTACTGTGCTTATGTTTGGTTTAACCGCATGCTAGACTGCTAGTAAGATCGCTTTTTTTTAATTCCACGAACGACTCACTATGCTTCACCAGTGAGAATTCATAACCGAATCTGAGTGAAATCAAAAGACCTGATTGCAAGTTCATTGACTTAATATAGTTCTAGCAATATCCGTACTCAATAATCAGATAACGACAAAAACAATGGGCAATGGTGAATAAGGGCAGTTTTTTACATGCTCAAATACGACCAAGGTAAAAATATAGTTGTCATGTGACCTTAAGATAATGAATATGCAGAGTCACGGGTAACACACACCAATCAAAACAATTCCTACTATTGAAAGTAACATAAATTCTCTGTTTACATAAAATTAACATACCAGAAGATGGTCGAGAAGCTGCAGCGACAATAACATGCTTGTTATCTGGACTCGAATCTGAGCTCAACAGCATTCGCCAGACACATGTGGCTCTGAGTGAGTTATCGCTTGACGACTGTGGAAGTACACGATAACCAGAAAGACGAGCTTTTTCACTTTCAACAGTGTAAATATATAAAGGTGTTGAATCGGATGAGGCAATTGCAGGAACACAGTTGGTTGGAAACACTTCGACCTGTGTAAACAAAGGGGAATTTTAAAGGTAAGTAAAATGAGTGAAATTCCTGTCTGTAAGAATTAATATCAGGTGAATAAAAAAGTGGACATGAAGTATGACAAACTGTTATAGTTCTTCGCAGCCAGAGAGTAGAATGAAAAGAAATGTTACTTAGTACACACTTGGATCTCAGAAGGTAATTAGATACTGAACTAAAGTCATAAGTCACGTGAAGTGGCAGAGGCGAATTTATCATTTTGTATTTGTTCCTGAATTTCATCAGTCACTGAACCATCAGTTCTTATTCGGCTTTGCAAGTAACTGAAGTGGTCAACCACTTCCCAGCAAAGTGCAGTCCTAAAACAGCAATTTACGTTTGGAAGACGAGAAACCTATGAAAAATTCTCACTCAATGCTCATACAATTTAGCATCTTGTGAGTGCCTCCAGCTAACAGGATTGTCGTCTTCTTACTCCAGCTCTGTCAAATTTTCATGTGATGAGGTCACCTTCTGATTATTTAGATGAAAAGAGGTAGACCAACATAAGTTAGACAAAAATAGAGATAGTAGATACCCTTGAAGAACACAACTCGAAGTACACAACTCATCATTAGCTCGAACATGCCCTCCGGTGTTCAAAAACAGGATCTTGTACAGGATGATGTACTAACACGGTACACCGTTCAGTGAGACACTGTCTTAGAACCTCTCAACCAATGTATTTGAAAGCCACCTTCAGGTCTAGAAATGCAGCTAGTGTTGGATGCCGGTGAGTGCGTTCATGTCTCAGAATCTGGCGAGGGGTGAAAATCTAGTCGACAAATCCATAACCACATCCGAAACTTGCATATTTTTCTCTGGTTCGCTGTTCGTACAATGAAGTATATGGTGTTCAAACTGTTGCTTGGTAAGACAGCAGTTATAACATTAAACAACTATCCTACTGCAACACTGAACAACCTGGATATAGACAAACATGAATATATAGTAATTTTAAACAGTCAAACTGATAAATTAGTCTCAAGAGTTTGAGAAAAATAGAACGCAAAATATGTAGTTTTTTGCGCATAAATATACATTTTACTGAGAAACCGTTAAGACTTTAAAATTGCTTACATTTAAATCAGTTTTCACTAACAACAAAGGTCTAATGAATTCGCACCGTTCGCTTATGGGACCAGGATGCAAAACAGCTTGTATAATATCCGACTTCATGGAATACATGTTCATGCCCGCTTCCCGTGAAGGAACACCAGTTATTGGATTAAATGAGAAAATAACTGGGCGATTTGTCGTCTGTAGGGAAAAAAATAAGATAGATGGAAGTTTTATAAATGCTTGTAATAAAGTACATTTCATCTGAACTTGGACAACAATCCCTCATTCAATTGTAGTTTTATGGGCAAACAAAAACGCTAGCAAGAAAAGTGCATAAAACTGTATGAGCGTTTGGAAGCAATCAAAAGTGTGAATACTCAACCCTTTGAAAGGATCAAACACCATGAACCTCCGTATATTTCTTTTCGATAGGAACGAGTAACTGAAACATTCCAACTTTATGCAGTATATGACACTATTAACTAGTTTAACGTTGTCTAGTCCTAAATGTTGATTGAATTTCATCGACCACTTCTCACAGTGTAACAATCAAGTTAGGAGATTCGCCATCGGTAGGGTATTCCGCTGATCATCTCTAGCCACTAAACAGTAATCAATCATCATAAGATAAAAAATACAAACGATGGTCTCCATCAGATTATCATTGAGCTCAAAGATTCATTTCAAAAGAGTTTTTTTGAAGTCGAGAAAATAACAATAATCATAAAAAGACCTAGAGTAAAACTAAATATTTTGGGGTGGGGTAAAGAAACAGTGCCTAGTAATCCTAAGTTGTCAAAGCTTCTAATAAGGACTTTCCTAGAAGAAGTCAATGTTTTAATCAATCAAATTCATGAAGTAATACCTTAAAGATGAAAACTTAAGAGAAGCTGAAATGTTTCTAAAATGATCATAAGTAGCTAGAAGTAAATAGAATTATCATAAACCTAGTTGCAATTCATAGTCATGTAACATTCTACTGTGGAATTTAATGCTTATTTTAACTACACGTTTATATTAAAGAAGTTGAAGAAAGAAAGAGCTGGTAATTTCGAATTATTTGAAATATTTGCCTTCAACTCAACAAAACATCTGAACTTTTTGAATTAAGTCTGATTTATAATTCAGAACTCACTCTCTCTGGTCACAAAGTTTCCAGAATATATATATATATATATATATATATATATATATATATATATATATATATATATATATATAATCCATTCACCGTGAACAGAGCTGTTTTAGTGGTTTAGGGAGTAGCTGTCAACCACTGGGTCACGAGTTCGAGCCCGGTTCCAAGTACAAAGGTTTGGAAAGCCAGATAGCAACACTAGCCCTCATACAATAGGTATGGCTCATTGCCTAGTACACGGATGTGCACAAAGTGGCTGAGTGTTTTCTTTCTTTCTTTTTTCACTGTGAACATACATGAGGATGATTTACTTGAGAAGCAACAACAACATTGTAGTGAAATAAAACCACGTGAAGGTAACGAGAAAAACTTGAAACTTGCCTTCGATCTAAGCAGCAGAGTCATGACAGGAGGTAGAGGAAAGTGAGCCAAATTACGCTGCTGAAAAAGAGCAAGTTTTCCATTGGCTAAAAGAGCCGTAGATGGTACAAAATAATCCCAAACAACGCGACCACGGTCACTTTCTAATCCAAAAAGCTATGGAAAAAAAAATTCGAGGACAGTCATGAGAGCAAAAGCAAGATATTTATTTATACATTAAATGTTTCAAACTTTAACTATCTTTAAAAAAAACAAACCCAGTACAATAGAGGAACTAAGAAATGAGGCGCTTAATATACATTAATGAAAAAGCTCAAAACGGAGTACCAAGATAAGAATGCATAGTTAAAAGTAATCCGACAGATCCACCAGATACATTCCATAGGCTTTTATTACACTTGTATTACTATTCAAAACAGGGAATATACGAAGCCTACGATATGATGGAAATGAGTTTCGATTCTAAATTATATCTAATAACGTGGCAAGATAGTTGTTCACTTGAATCGAAAGACTGGACCAAAATGATGCTGGTGTACCTGCAGACATCCAAAAACATGGTTCTTTGTCGTACCTCGCGATATCACAGACTAGCCACCTCTACACTTCCATAATTTAGTCCAAGGAATAAAAAGATGTAAACAGAATGGACACCAAAAAGAGAAATTTCGTGATACATCCTCCAAACTATCAAAGTCGACATGAATTCACTTGAGAAATGATGACTTTCATGGTGAATAGACACATACAACCCCACACCTCAGAATTACTTACGTGATGCTTTTAACAGGTGCAGGGGATCATATAGAAATTACAATGTAGGAGTATACAGTGATCACCTCACAAAGGCCAGATTTTACAGGTGTACTGCAGAACTGTCAGTATCGGCGCACTACGTATCTGAAATGTTACAGCCAAACGAACAGTACAACAGTGCAAAAAAGCAAATGATATTGATGTATGTCCCAATGGAAATCACATGAGTCAGGCTCATACCCACAGTGATGCAAATACACAGGTGCACGAACCGTTCGACTACTTCCTGCGGTTTAGAAAAAAAGTGAATGTACACTCCTATTCATTACGATAATACTTTTTGTACTTCGTCCGTGCGAAACACATGACGCTCTTGCAAACACTGGTTACCAACTGATTAGGAACAATTCGAGTAGTTTGTATTGTGTAGCAAAGTTGAACGATGCCATTCACATATTCAAGGTTAAAAAAGGTATCTTTTGGTAGTAGATCTGAGCTGCCACCAAGTGTATCTCCGTAAAAAAGTGGTGTAATCGAACAACTTTGTCAAACACGCAACTGATGGTCTGGAGCAATGGAGATGTTGATGTATATGCTTACTTTACAAGAAGTGTTCTTTGATAGAGGCTGCTCTTCAAATATGTTAATGAATCTACAGAAGCTCACAACCTAAGTATACAATTACAACGGCAAATCCTCTCCAACAAATTGAACGCAGTTCTGATAGTCCGCAGTGCGACGGTGGAAAAGTAGTTGACGTAAGGGGAACATGTTATCAATATTCTCAGAACGAAACACTAAATATACAAATTCCTAACAAAAGAAATCTACAATATATGAATTCACTGTTGGCTATAATACTCCAAAAGTATTGTGTCGTAACTTACGAAGGATTACACAAACTAACACTGGAATAGTGAAAACACTAGTAGGAATATATTGTAGAGAAAATACTAACTAGTTCTAGGATTAAAAGACCATATGCAGTGATTAAGAAGTGTTAAGGATGGAAGGCAGCGATTTCGAATAGAAGAAAACAGGTAGGAAGGGAGAAGCGTAGGAATCAGAAAGGCATGAAAACGGGCAAGAAGGAAGACAGTGAACACTGAGAAAATAATAAAGTGTATAGAACATTTGAGAAATAGTATTATTATTTGTCTCTTGGAATCCCAGTGGAAAAAATGACTTCAGTAGCACGTCTCCATTGCACTCTGTTCTCTGCAGTCTTTTCAACCTGGCTCCGTGACTGCCCAGAAGCTTTCATTTCTTCCTCACACCATCTCCTTCATGTCAGCCTCGGACACCCAACTCGTCGTTTCCCTTCTGGGTCCCACTCGACGGCCTGGCTCGTGATGTCCACAAACGGTCTCCGCAGTGTATGTCCAATCCATCTTCACTTTCTTCTTCTGCATATTTGTTGGTTCATTGCGGGGCCAGCCAGAGTTCCTTGTTGCTTATTCTTATTATTCTGGCCATCTGATCTTCAGTATCGAGTGAGCGTAGAAGGCAGCTGTTGATGATATGTCTGCAGTTTGTTGGAAATGCTATTCGTAGCGCGCCAAGTCTCTCAACCATATAGAAGCACTGACATAACTGAATTAGTGTTGAAAATCCGAATCTTGTTCTTTATGCTGAGTGGAGTGCAGTAGATCTCCACACTGATTATTTCAGATTAATGCAGTAAGGCCTATCTTGCTGTCTTTCCGATCCTGGCTGCCTTCACACCCTCATCTGTGCCACTGCCGCCGACTGTAGTTGTAACGATGTTGTCTAGGTAAGAAGGTAGGTTAAAAAGACTACTTCCTTTAGATTTCTCCCGTTGTGGTGACTGGTGTTTGTTGTTGGTTGGGTGTCTTCATCAGATCTGTGTTCGCCACGTTCACCTGAAAGAAGTCCCATTTTTACCGCCTCTTCTGCCAATTTGTTGGTTTTTGCCTGTAAATTGTACGACATTAAACATAAATCATCATCGGTGAAATCCAAACCTTTTAGGGTCTTTTCGTCGGTCCAGCGCATGTCTATCTTCTCGTTTTTCACAGTTTGTTGCATGATCCAGTCAAGTCGACCATAATCAGTAAGATCACCGGTGGTAGTAGGCGACCTTGTCTTACTCCTGTCTACACTTCAAAGGTATCACTGAGCTTTTCATAAACCCCTCAAATTGATTTTTTACTATATCATTAAATATCATTGATTTCATGCTCTGGTATCATTCATTCTAACTACTTTTAGTCTTGAGTTAACTTTAATGAGAGCCAACATCACATGGATGGCTGGCCAGTGATCTGGACTGCATAACGCATGCTAAGCTTGGTGAGTAACCATATGAATGATGATAAATTTATTTTTCCAGACCCCAACAACCAACTCATCACAGAGTCAGATCAAATGCAATACTTTTCCCAACTGATGAATCTTCGTAGTGACAAAACGGAAAACTGACAATACTGTCATCACTACTGCTTACAAGTAAGGATTACTACATAGCTTTAAGTATCATATCGGAAGGAATATGAACGTTTTTTGGGTATATTAAAAGCAATAACATCATGTAGGATAAAATTTAATTTTCACAAAAATTCTAATATTTTCACACAAAAAAGAGTTCATAAAAGTACTTACTTTACCGACTGATGTTGCTACAACCAACATTTTGTGTACATTAAAATTATCACGGGTAAGCATTTCATCCCATGTTATTTTAGGATTTATTGAGGTTAATTTCTGAGGATTTGTTTTATCATTGTGTTCATTATTAATGCCACTATCAGTGTAATTACTAGTTGATATCGTATCATCTGATGAAAACTGCCATCTAGGAGGTAGGCTGTTTGAATAGCTATTTGACATGAAATCATTTGATGAGTACTGCTGTGACGATAGTTTACGACTACGTATATTATCAGGTGAGTGTTTGAAAAGAGAAGCTGACAAGTTAGGTGAAGATAGTAGAGTCATGAACAGTTGAGGCATATGAGAAAGCCAATGTTTCATCCATACCTATGAGTGAAAAAAAACACAATCATGTAAACGCAATTATAGTTTTAGAATGCTCATAACTCACAGTAAGCAAATACATTAAAAGGAGTTCTGATTCAGTATGGCAGTGGTAACACAAAGACAATTTTTGAAAGGATCAAATAAAAGTCAACGTTCACTATACGTGTTTACTTGACTCGTGTTCAACACCAGTGTGGCATCTTCAGTAAAAATATTTCCAAAGTCAGAAAAACACAGTTTCCACAAGATACGTGTTTTATTCATCAAAGATAAGTTAAGAAAAAATTTCCACATTATTTTTTCACTTATAAATAATGACAGTAATCTCAGACAGTGGATCATGGGTTTAAACCTCGGCCCACTTGCAGAGGTTTGCTCAGCCAGGTAGTATGCTGGGCCCCACAAAATAGGTATAGCTCATTAAATTGTTCGCTTACAAGGTATAATAAATATGGACCGCAATTTAAATGCAGAACATGATATGATTAAATAGGAACATCAGGCTTAAAATTATGAACAATACTTACAAGTCATTCGCTACCATAAAGCAATTTCAACTTTTCGCGTTGATATTACAGGTGAAAAGTGCAGAAGAATGTCGCAGATTTCGCGAATATTATGAAAAGATGTTTGTACTACTTATTTTTATAATTTAAAATGACTTTTCCAGGAAATTTCATAGTGAAAGAGTTGAACAGTTTTGACGACAAGATACAGACAGCAAGTGTGCAGATGCATTTAGTAAGCGCTTAAAGCTGTTTCATTTTCTTGCAGTCTACTTGATGGCTAGAAGTGGAATCTAGGAGGCGAGTTTCGCCTTATTTGTGACTCGTCAGTTGGATATATCTACACCTCAGTGGGTGATAGTGTCCTTTCTAGGACTCGGACCTAGTGTCAAGGCGTTCGCATACGAGCCTATCCTAACAACAGTGGTGGGGAAACTCAACCCAGTAGTATAGTAACGGGGAATAACAAGTGTCAGTAAATGACAACTTTTTTGGTTTATTTTAAAAAATTCAGCAAGAAATGTGGTATCAGAGAATAAGTCAGTTATTTTGATAGTGGACTGAAAAGTAACTACTGTTGCTGCAAAAATCTAGCCACACACTCACTTGTGAGAATTAAATGACTGCCTACTGAATTTCATGTTATTCTTCATTGATTAATCAGTATCTGATAGCTGGTTTCCAACTACATCATCGTTTCTTATGTATAAGTGAATGCTTATCACATAGAAAAATGATGCACATATACAGTCCTACGTTTCGCTACACAACACCATTTAGTCCCTCAGAACAGGTGACATTCTATCATAATGGGTTGGATAACATTCAAAGTTTTTAGCAGGTATCCAGCTGATAACTGTCATTCTAGTATTCCTTTAATGAGACATTAAAAAAGAATTAGTGCAGTACAAGTCGCACACACAATAGTAACTCGTGAGGTAATCTTATAACCAATGTGGCTGAAATACCAAACAGAGAACTTCAGCATGAGTATCCTTCACTTTATAATTGCTCCGTAAGATCTTACATAGAAGGTGTGAATTTGAAAAGAGAAAGCAGATTAAACGGTACAGTAAACTCTACGTAGCTGTAGTAACTTCTGAATTCCATGATGACGCTTTTTTACAGAAAATACAATGAATTGTTCAAATAGCGACAGGTCAACAACTTTTTATAGCAATGGAAAATCATCCAATGCAAGTTCGTTACCTATCACATATATAACACTTGATGTTGCTGTGACACGACTGATTGACTCAGGCATTTGACTCTCAAGTAATGCTTCCCGAGTTCAAATCCCACTCCATCTGTTTAAGCTCGCAAAACCTGGTAATATCATAAGCCTTCAAACAATTAGTGTGGCTCATAACCTGATACACAGGCCTACATCAAGTTGAGTTGCACTACACATTACATTATCCTCCTCTGTGATATAATACAGATTATGTACAACGAGATAAAACTGAAAAGTTCGTGCATTATAAAATTGTATGAGACCTGATGATTGTTAGTTATGCGATATCAATATAGGTGCTAGCTAGGTCTATATTGTTGGACGGAAACGTTTGGAGAGATTAGATATATGCTTCTTCTTTCTTGGGGCACATTTTCTTCTTCGGCCCAAACAAGATAGAAAATTACAAGCAATAACATAAAAACTATACCTGTCTCACAAGGAATGGCTGTCGTGACTCAATGGTTTAGTAGGTGAAACTCTGGCGGTTGAAGTGATCGGTCTGGAGTCCGAGTCTAAGTAGGAACAACAGCGAGCATTGGGAGGCAGGTAAATCTAGCTGAAGAGTCCCAAATAAGACAAAATGCACTCCCTGGATCCCACTGTTAACCACCATTCATTAATTAAATCTTACTTTTATTATCAAAGCCAACTATTTGATAATTGGAAGGAAGCAAGGAAACAGAGGTGATAGTTTCGTGAAAAATGGTAACATGAAACGCAAATACTTAAAGTTGAGCTGACTAAAACAAGGTGGTACATCAAATCTTGCTAGGTGTGATGGAATTTTTTTGTATATTTTTTTCACAAAGACAATGTACTATAGCCATTCACGAAAAACTTGCTTGAATACACTTCTATGATTATCAGTTCCCCTTTTTAAGCCGTTTTCCATCATGACGTTACATAATATCGATGTATCGTATACCGAGTTTCCAATTCAAATTCTAACTTATATATGCACCTCAGCAGATACATACAGGCTACTGCACGAGGTGATAAACCATACATATCATGGGACGATTAGTCATATTGCCTACCTGACAACTCATATAAGTAGGTGAAGCGAGAATCGAAATGCACTCACATCTACTTCGTGCACACTCGCTCAGTAGGCGATGAGACACACCTTTTTTGTGAAGGCCAACGACATTACTTGGCTGTTTAAACCTCGGCAGAGTTCGAACCCATGGCCGAATGGTTGAAAGTTAACTGCTTAAACCAGAAACCCAACAGTCGACAGGAGATAACAATGACTAAGTAGATAGAAAATCAGTAACAACCAAGAAGTAATGACTAACTTCCCATTGTAAGTAATAGAAATCCATTCTAAAGTCGTGAGAGAAGAGCTCTTAGCACTACCAGTACACGGCATGTTGTCATGTAAGCTATGTGTAGCGTGACTGAAGTTAGTAGTCATCCTGTTCAAATATTGTATGGAGTGAGCAATTCTGAGGGTAGTTTTGATTATTCTCTTCATTGTTAATCTAGAGTGTCATATAAAGCTTACACGTATGTTGATGCCAGATACCGGCAGCGGCTCTTAGTAATCTTACGTTTTAAACGGTTAGCTTGCTGGTGTAATATAGGAAGGAAGACTACGTTCAAATGAATCAATCTACAAGAAATCATTACATTAAACGAACATCAAACAAGGATGGAGGAGATTCCAAAACTATTCACTTACAGCTAACTGCGAAATTTGTGTTCTCAACCGACGAACAAACATTTCCAATATGTTATCTTTAGAAAGGAAAAAGATAAAAGCAAAATAATTTAAGAAATCATGTAGGGTAAACAGATTCCTCGACATTTGTGCTACACTTCTAACACTTAAAAATACAAACTGTGTGATCAAGTATGAAAAAAAACATATGACCTAGCATAACTACGTATTGGTATAATTTATCCCTATTCACATCAACACAAGAATGAAAAGTGAAATACAGAAATAACATCAATAGGCTCAAGATAAAAAATAGATGAAGGTATTCTAAAATATTTTACAACAAGGTTTTCACGATTTAGACAGATATAAAGTATGGATGCAAACGAGTAACAGCAATCGATTCTGACGCATATTACTCAGTTTCCAATTCCCCGGTGAACTTGAAGCAAGAAGTCGACATTTCGTTAAATAAGTTCAAATAACGATCACAGACTTCACATATTTTTGTCCACCTAATATAATCAACACAACACATGTGCCGAACATATGACTGGTAACTGAACATAGTGGTCATCATGATTTGGAAACTGATATATGCTATGGCTGCTAACAATGCACGGATATCAAGTGTCCATCACCAACGTTCAACGAATTCCTAGTTGATTCCAAACCCGACTAATTAATGAAGACACGATGGACGTGTATTGGGGTCGAAAGACCGAGGGCCCAAAAACAAACGAAAATACAGCTAATATATAGATAGTTCGCTGTTGAAAATAATACTGTTGATTGGCTAATCCACCCCTTGTCTGTCTAAATGTAGACGTATTTTATTTATTTGCCCCTTGGATTCCTAGTGGGACACAGGGCTTGGCTGTAGACGTAACAACATAAAATACATTTTGATTGTCTTCGTCGTGTTGTTTTCTTTGAGCTAGGGTACATCGTCTCTCTAGACGACAACATCCTACCGTACTTAAAGAATATATCAGAAATCACAAGATTACTGAAACCACTTGGAATTGGTGTGACTCATAAACCAACAAATTCCCTCCAAACCATATCATATAGATGAAAGGACACAACAACCAAAGAAGACAAACCGAACATCATTTACAAAATCAACTGTAATAATTGTAGTCAATACTACATTGGATAAGGTGGTCACCCTCTTCACCTTCGTTTACATGAACACCAATTGGCTATTAAACGTCATTCCATCATTCATTTGAATACACGTGGATAATTATGGATATGAATTCAATTTTGACAGGAAACCCAAAGAATATCAGAGAATTCCTAGAAGCTTGACATTCAGCTCAGTCAGCAGTCAACAGATGTATAGACATAGACCCAATCCATCAACCAATAAGAGAAATGATAAACAGCAGAAAGGTGAGAGATGAAACAGAGGAACAGCCCACAGGAAAATCTATGCACTCAATGAGACAATAATCAAAGGAAACAACCAACTACAAACCAGTTCTTCAGGGCAATCTGATGAATCACTCACGGAGAGATTTTGACAGCTCACTTCATACAGAAGTTAGTGTTGATGATGTCGTCTAGGAAGACGATGAAAGCTCCACGAATAAACACCCTAGCTCGGGAGAAGACCATACAACCAAAATCTTCATTACGCTTACACAGTTGTAACTCATAATCAGTTTGAGCTATGCAGTACATTTTATATCATTATTTGCGTTTCAGTTAGCACAAGGGAAAAAAATTATAACTTGGAGTTGTTAGTCACAAGTTCACCAAATAAGTACCTTACAAGTAAAGAAAAAGAAATATTTGGCGATATAGAACGGTGATTACTTCGATCAAAAGCTTTAAACTGCTATTCTGTAGATAAAAATAAACACACCGATAAAATTGTGTTGGGCAAATTGAAAGAAAGTTAAGTGAATCCATTACCAGATGTAAATCATTCTACAGTTCTAGTCCTTAAAGTGGACTGAAATTCATCGGTTGTATACGAGAAAATAGATATGGTAGTAATCATTTCTAGTCTTACAACTATCAAGTCTACATGTTATACTAGAAGCAAGAACGTGAGTTTGACCAATGCACACAAACGAATGATATACATAGGTGTTACATGAAACAATAATAAGTAATACATTTTATTCTATAAAACTTACTACTAGCATGACCGAATTCTTCTTCAATTTTGGCTTGAAATTCTGAAACAGGTAAATCGACTACTTCTACAGCAACTATATTGGCTAATGCTTCTTCACGAATCCACTGTTGTTTACCTATAAATATTGAAGAGAAAATAAAGTATGTGCTAATAATTTGACGTAAGGTAGTAAGCAAAAACACAGGAAAATAATTAAAGTGTTGATGAAATTCTGAGATGGTGCATAGTTAGTACAATGAGTAACAAAAGTAAATCAACATTTTGCCAACAATTATGCAAGAAAAAAGTGCTAATGAAACTCTGTAAGAACAAACTAGTAACTGCAGAGATCCCTAACATACAAATATATTTGTAATGAAGATCTATACAACGATATTATTTAATTTTTGTGATATTTTCAGCAAAATTACTGCTCACAATCACATCAATCCTTGAGATTATTTGTTCCCCATTGAGCTTTTGTAGTAAAATAAGTAAATTTTCTCAGTGACCATTGGCCCGCTGATGCAATAAGTAGTAATTCACATCTATCGTTTGAGGGTTATTGATACTATCCGACAGTCCAAACCTTAGTTCAAACTAGTGAGCCATTGGTCGAAAGGCCACCCTAGCAACTATCAAAATAACTAATCTGGTTTAGATATTCCGTATGGGACAGTAGTTTTTCATCAAATAAAGAAATGCAATTGGTTATCTGAACAGTTGCTAGGGTGGCCTTCAAAGTCACCCACCTATTTTCATAAAAGCCTAAAGGAAAATACGTATATTACGTAAAATTATTTTACTTTATTTAAAACGATATTTTCCAAGATTGCTATTTAAGTCCGTTCATAAGCTTATTTTCAACTTATTTATTAGTATCTCGCTTATAATGACCGTCTGTCAATCGTAAACAAACTATTCAGCATCCCAGAAACAAAGACATTTCAGATTTCTATACAATTATGCATGGGATGAGTTAGCGGTTCATATATCTCGTTCACTGCTGATGGTAAAGATGCCGATAAAATGTAGTTTTGCGGAACTTCCAGGATAAAAAGTGAAGTGGTGGAATACCTTAACTAGTTCACTTATTTGGAAAGTTTCATCAGTCCTAATGGACAAGTCATTGACGAAACCTCAGTTCAGATACAAAAGGTCCACGCTTTGCATTTTTATTAACTCGTGCTACCCTAGGTACCAGTGAGATGTCCGAATGCATTTCAAAGGATGAGTTATGCTCCTCAGTTGTTTAGGCTACTCTACTTCACGTCTGTGAGACATGAAGATTAAAGATAGAAAGAATAAGAAAGCTACACAATTTTGGTAGTAGATATTTTCGTAGAATTTCTCGAATGTGGTGCAACCACCGTCTGAGAAATGTTGAGATTGAATGAAAAGCACCAAATCAGGAAGAAAAACCGAGTGATGACGTTGTGAACCTTCACCAACGGAGGAAGATCTGTCAAGTATAGTACATAACAACCCACAACCTAACCAGGAGCACAATTTTATTCAAAGTAAGATTAATTCAAGAGAGAGTTAGAGGTGACTAAACGAGGATATGGTAGGAAACTCCCTCCTAGCTAAATCAAAATGCTAGTGTATAGAGGATGACAGTATGGCCACTGGCAAGGATGACAGGATGTACTAAATTTTTTTAGCGTCCTTATTATTAACATGAATGACTTCCAAATGTACACATTTGACAATGCTTGTCTTCTAAGTAAATATCCTACTGCGTAATGAAAGATGATAAGTTATCAACACTTCAGATGAAAAACTTAAGCGAGAAAATACTCCAAGAAAGCTAGAAGTATCTAAACGAAGAGTGCTGGTCATAAATTTAAGTTTTCCTATGAAGAAATTAGAAGTAAGCAACAAGGAAATCTGCAAACGAACCAACCAACAACCCACCGCCCAACAAATATGCAGAAGAAAATGGAGATGGATTGGATTGCCCATACACAGAAAAAACCGTTCGGACATCACGTGCCAGGTCCTCGAGTGGAATGCAAAGGGGAAACGACAAGTTGGGCGTCCGAGGTGAGGGTGACATGGAGGAGATCATGTGAGGAAGAAATGAAAGATTCTGCGCAGTGGTGGAGCCAGGCTGAAAAGACTGCAGAGAACAGAGTGGAATGGGGACGTACTCCTGAAGCCCTATGTTCCACTAGGAACCCAAGAGACATAATATAATAAATAATATCGGTTCTTTATTGGCGCTATACAAATTCCTTTTATTGCAAATTTCTGAGAAACATAACAAACAAAACAAAGTCATCGAATCCGCTACTTCCATCAAAATAATTGTTACTGGAACGAAATGTAAGTAATCACTTGTCTAGGAATAAGGTAAGCATACTCTATTCTACATTTAACAGTTTTCCAAATAACACAATGTCGATTCATATAAAATTAATGATTATCGAGTTTATCCAACGAAAAACAATATTCCATTTGAAAAACATGTATAAAGCGATCGTAAAATATGAAACCTAACCATTTTGTCTGATTAGTTGAACGGCATTGTCTTCTGTGTACAGCAGTAAACGGAAACTTGGAGCTCCAGAAGCATCAGTAAACATGATGATAGACATCTGAAAGAGAAAAAAAAGATAAGAGAAAATTAAAGCATGCCTTAACTGCACAAAAATTAAATTGAAATAACTAAAATATATGACTTTCTCCCGAATAAGCCTTTCAAAAATGCTCACTGAATACACCAAATTGAATTATTTTGAATTCTACATCATCTGATCGAATTAAAATCGGAGCAACTTTAAGGAGCACTCTAGCAACGATCGAAATAACCGATTAAGTTTATTCATTTTGTCTAGAAAGGCAGATTTTTATAGAATAGAGAAGCCTAATTTTTTATTTCACTTGTGGCTTTTAAAGACATACACTCTGAAGAAATCCATCCAGAAAAATATATAATTGGAAATAACAGACCAAGATACAAAGCTACACTCGCTACTTGATAGGTGCCTATCATACTTCCCTAAATTAGAGTACAAGGCATTGACAGTTGAATAGAAGGTGTAGAGCCTAAGAAGGATGACAGATATCCACTGACGTATGCAAATTCAGCAAACGAGTTCCACATGGGACGAAACTAGCCCCATAAATTCTACTGCTATTCCATAATCACCACTATTCAAACGAACGGACCGGAGAACCAGCATAGAATCTTGCACACAAGAATGAATGAATACATCTGCACCATTATGACCTACACCTCATTACAACACTGAAGCCAACAGTCACAGACTTTCTGCGCGCTGGTGCCACGTCTTAACCAGACCATCTTCAATTTCCTTCCGACTTCTTATGTCATTTAAAATCATTTAAAGAGGCAGCTGATGGCTCGGCGTTTCAGGTGTAATATCTCACAGCCGTTCACTACTACAGGGCGGAATGTAGCGTAGAATGCTCATCCACTGATGCGTAGTCAGATATTGTGCTGGTATCAGACATGGAGTAATTTGAAGGGAATTCAAACTTTTTACGTCCCAGTTGACATTCCACTAACAACCAAATGGTTCAGGTTCATGCAACTTCCCAAGCAGGTGAAGTGGTCAACTCGCTTAACAATACTCATTATCCTTGGAATAGCAGTTGCTTCAAACTAATCGTAAGGCATAATCTTACACTTGAAAGGTGTAAAATCCATACACAGCACACACACTTCTAATCAGCGTGTTAGGAAAACCTACATTTTTTTCCAGCTTATTCGCCAAACAGCAATATGCTGTCTCCTTACACAAAGCCTACCTTGTGCAGGCAGACAGAATCAACGTAGAACCCCAAACACAAGTCCATCGGTTCAAGCTGCTACACTTCACAGTAGTATCCAAAGAACAAATAGAAGGCAAAAGACTGATATCAAAGTAGACAAAGTTGTGTGAGAGAACAGACAATCTGAAGATAACAGCTAGTGCAAATATTCAAGCTTTATATGTCGAGGAGTGAATAACGGGTGTCCTACAAGGAGCAGATCAATTTATATGAGGTTTAACGTTCCTAGGGCTATGCCTACTTACATACCAATAACAAAGTCAAACAACAACGACGACGTCAAACATCCCGTGTGCACACCACTGATTGTAGCAAGCTGAAATGACAACTCTCCATAAGCCCTGACACTGCTGCGTGAGTTCCATACATAACTTTGATAAACGTTACGTACTTGCTCGCTACTCTCTTAGGTCACACACCACCACAACACATCTCAATCGACAGAGTCGAATGTCACCTTCACATCGAGAAATATGGCAAGTGTCGGCCGCCGATGAGTATGCCTGTGTTCCATAACCTGATGAAGGGGTAAAATTTGACCGATTACCTCCGTAGATGTTTGAAACCTGCCTAGCTCTCTAGAGCTTCAATAGATAGTCGGATGACTACGGATTGTAGATACAATGTTAGTTGAACTGATCCGCCTACGGATGTTACAAAAACGCTTCGCCATCTTCATCTAAACTGGAGTGACTGACAAACCAGAACCAGACTACAGAATTACCTCTCATTCACACTCAATACACGCTTAGCTATCGCCTGCCTAAATACGTACTTGATGTCCTTATCTTCCAAACCACCATACGAAGACTTTACTGTGGCCCGTTTCCTGTGACCACTAAGGCACAGAAATGCACGTACTCATAATAATGTGATAGGAGTTTAAACACCTACTCCAGAAAGCATAGTAATCCGCCACCAATCTTCCACTATGATGGCTTATAGCAATGTGATGTATTTGCGTCCATCGTTGATTTGAAGTCGGGAGACTCTATAGGAGACAGTATCTCTCCTTATGCTTGAAATTTGTGCTGACGACAAACAAATAATTGTCAGGACGAAATTGCAACAAATGATCCCTGTTGTCGGTTTGTTGGCATGGGATTCTGTAGATTTATCCAAAATGCCTGTCCGATCGGCTCAGCTTTCCTACTTGAGCTTTAAAGTCACCTGCTGTTATAACTAGATCTAAACGTTCTGAAATTGTAGTAAGATTGATAGCTTATGATATAGAGTTCATCCGTTGCATTAGGTCATGGTTCGTTGGGTTTTGTAAGATGGTGGAAGCATGCGAGTGGTCAGTGCTTCCCAGCTGACCACACTATGAAAGTGGTTTCTGTCAGGTAGCTGAAAGAAGATAAGTTATGAGTGGTTACAGAGTCCGAGGAACATCAGCTAGAGGCTGGTTACACAACCTTTTTGAAAGTTTGAGATTGAAATTTGAGCATTTAGCTGGAAGACCAATAGCATAGGCACTGAAAGACCGAAGGGATGGACAAGTGTGATATTATAGGAGTCAACTTTACCAACCTTCCTTTAAATAAGGAAGGTAGCACGAGCATGGGTCATCGATAGCCTTTGGGACACACCCCATGCAACCAGTAGAGAACTTTTTCATCAGACCATCATCATAGCAAAGCTACACACACTACATTTAGCTTTGCCACTAACCAATAGATCTTTCGTAAATGGTGTAACTTAAAAAGGATCATCGTTTCAACTAGCGTAGCTCGCAGAATCATTGTAATACCCAAATCCAATCACCAAGTCAAGGTAACGACTACTGGTTGAATCAGAATGCAAAGAAATATATTCACACAGTTTCAGTCCTGCGGAATGCTCTTTCATTGTGTAAGTTTAGTGACCACTTACATCTCTTTAACTAAGGATCGCATCACTATCATAATCGATGGTGATAATAATGCAGCCCAAACCAGTGAAGGCACACGTAGTAGGCTATGAGCCGAATTAATATTTGTCGGCTGCCCAGGGTGAAGTAAGTGGAGCGGAACTTAGAGGTGAAACCAACAGCTTGAAAGTCAAACGCTTACGTCTATGAGTAGCATCAATATACTCATGTAAGGATTGACAAATTATATATTTAGTCATATTCTTTAAAGTCACAACTGATAATCAGTAAAATCTATGAACTACGCAGAATGAAATCAAGCTGAGAGCCAAACTTTGTATTTCAGTCAGTAGACGTTATATATCAGGAATAACTAATGATACACAGATATGTTCCAAATGTCCAAATAAGCCACCACACAAAATTAAGGTATTTTTCAGGCCAGTGACAGATCATGCATAGACAGAGTGATGATAAGAAGATATACCAATCTATTAATTATGCTTTGTCGATATAAATCATTAGAAGCACTATTTAAGTAGTATCAAGACATTAAAATGATCAGATTGGATGATGTCCAATGGTGGCACTATTTCTTTCATACAGTATTCACTATATCCTAACAAACGCACATTTACTAGCTAATGCTCCAACGTACAAACATGAGTCAATCACGACGGTACAGTCGTATTTTCAATAAAACACTACACTCTATCCCGATAAAAAAAACCACTTTTAACGTGTTTATTCCTGGGACAAGTAAACATTATCACTAAACTTGTCGTCTAGATTTACGTTCTGAATTCCATTGAGCGTTATAGTGGTATGGACACTTGAAAAAAAATCTTCCAATCAATCCACATTTTTATCAATATCGCATAGTTTTTCAGTTACACAGAAGCAGAATAAAATCTAATTAGTAGTGGACAATATCTCGATAGAATCTTATTCTGAAAACAAACAATAACTGATTGATTTTTGTAAGAAATTTGAATTTTCTTAGTTGTACGATAACTTCGTAGAAGACTATAAATCTTTAACGCATATGATGATATCATCAATGTTGACTCTGCGTCGTAGTACAAGATAGAATAGAATGAGAGTATACCCATCAGAATGTCAAGAAGAATTATTCTGCTTCTATTTTCAACAATAATTATAATCAATAAGTCAAAACAGCAACAACAACAACACAAAGACATATCAGACTGTCAACTGAATGGATTAGAACAGACAATTACATGGAGTAAATCGGCTGATTTTTCACGAATCAACCATCCAAAAACAATAAATATATGGTTCGGTGAAAAAATCAATTTAACGTATCGTGATAATCACAAAAGGAAATTACCAAAAACATGGTTATGGCAGACTGGGCATAATTTTAACGAAGGTTATCGTTTAACTGAATCAATAGAATGCTTTGTAATTGAAAATCGAACACATCTGGAGCCTTATACTGAAATTAACAGTTTGTTAATACATAAAGACGGTATTTATGTATTAGCTTTGATAGAATCTGATTGGCATATTCATGTACAAATAGGATTACAAGAATCGTATATCCCACTAGCTATCTTTATTGTCAGTGTACTTAAACCAGTTAGTATCAGTTATACCCTGCGTTTCATCACTTATCATTCTGATCATGAATGCTATGATGCTGAGTATAAAATATGGTGGATATTTCAAGTACTGTTAAACAATAAATTATTAAATATTCAAAATAAACCGTTATTAGATAGTAAATTTCAATATAAAACTAAGGAAGCTAAATGTCTACGATTATCAAATGATGACAGTCCTATACAAATTATTTATTATTACAATATTAATCGAGTAAAAGTTACACCGAATGGTTATACACCAGCTAGTGAAGCTCAATGGAAGGTGATAAAATCATACAAAAACTACACAATCGAAGAAAATTACACTGTAGATTTATCTACAGAATTCGGCATAGTGATGAGAATCCGTTTGAAAAACATTCAGGTACCCTTTGGAAATGGAATGAAAATAACACTCAAATCGATTTCAGATGAAGGTCTCTGGAAGTTAGGTCACATGACACCACCGTTCACTGACGACAAGTTATTGCATCAAGTATACGCTGTGGTCAGATTAAATTCAACTATATATAACTTGTTAAGGGAAAAACCTGATCAATTAAATATTCAATGGATTTTAGTTGAACCGTTATATGGTCGTTTACGTACTTCAAATGGAATTACTGTGCAAATGAATTTGTATCACCATTGGACAACTGCCCAATATTTAACAAAATTGGAGATCAACCACTTAAAACTTTCAGATGTACGCTATTTGTTTGTTGATTTTTGTAGTTTTTATTCTAAAAAAAAGTACTTTTGTATTGTTGAGGAATGCATCAACTTGTATCAAGTTACTTTGGTACATTTTTTGTCTCAGTCGATAGCTGTAATGAGTTATGTTCTACTGATGTAGGAATTTTTGAATAGAAGAGAACTAATTCCTATTAACGGTTGTAAAGTGAAGATTTCTCAAGGTAATTAAAAGAATGTCAGATATTAAACATGTTTATCTTGACTAGCCAATTATCTGAGGTGAAAAAAAAAAATCAGTGATAGCTGTAAAACATAATTACTTGAAATATCTATGAACTTTATAGCCAGACATTAAGTAAAATAAGGGTAATTATCAATTTATTCCAATACAGTCTATGTATGAAGGCTACTCTTTTTACTGGATTCATGGATTTAAACAGCTCTCAGAAAAAATATGAGTTATTTCCTGATGAGTATAATTGCACAAAAGAATGATCCTTTGATAAAGTACACCATGATACAGTATTATGTACTGAATGACGTTTTGAGCATAATTTGCTGCTCATAATTAAATCAAAATGATCACAAAACTTTCAAAGTTTATTTGTATAGTTCATCAGTTATTCGCTCATTTATTTTAATGGTAGTAAAATTTTCTAAATATCTTTAATGTGTGATGAATCATTTCAGTTGCATCTTTTACATGTTGATCCAACGAATAAAGATCCTGGTAGCAATCTTTCTCTTCACTTGCCTATGATGTATTTTAGAAGTAAGCCTATCCCTCTGTATTTCGGGATGGGTAAGTGTAGGCCTAGCGATGGCTGAGCTTTACTGTCTACTGCTTAATCTTAATAGGGTCTATCATATTGTGTTACGCTAAATGTTTGAGTTCGATTATCCCCCCCCCCCAACCAGCTACTTTGACTCATGTACTTCACCTCGAAATCATTACATGGTTTTCCATATAGCATGTTATTTTGCTAAATTGAATCTACTGGGACTTTTAGATGAGTTTGTGGGTTTGAATGCCATTAAAAACTTGGAATGGGTCAAGACCTTCTTAACATCATTTTTTCCAAAACTACATATCGGAGCTATCAATATTCGCACCATCCGTCAAATCGGTAAACAAAATTCGCTAGCTAAAACTCTGGCATCACTCACCATGAACAGGCGTTGCGTTTCTGAAACACTCATATAGAGGTAAAGTATGGCGATCACCCAGGCAATGTGATGAGTCGGCAAATTTAACTCTTCGAGTTCCTGGAAATTTGATGGCCACATCTCATGGTTTTGCACATGTAGTCATGCGGCTATGTACTAAGGAGGAAACTGTACTGCTTGGCTGAATTCCAGTTGACGGTTGCCTACGCACTGTTCGAGAGAACAGAGCAGTTTGAAATAAAAAGACCAATAAAACTCACTGAAGACTGTAAACGATACTCAAAAAAGTTAGAAAAAGTAAGTGGATCTCAACATTTAATGAATGCACTAAAATACACTCCTGCAGGTTTCGAATACAATGGGGAGCAGAAGTCATTCAAATGAGCACTAGCAAGACGTCTGTGCAATGACCACGAGTAGTTATAGAGGGCGAAGGCTAGAAAAAGAGGAAAGGCAACGACGATAGATAACAGAAAACAGCTAATTCAAATGATCAGGGAAACTGAGGCAAAAAGTGAATACACTTGAGAAAAATGTATCTGAGATTCATGAGCCGAGGAGACAAATAAAACGATACGTGGAACACTTTAGGGGACAGTTCAATTGGGCTCCACCTAATATTCCATTTAGAACCTGAATGGAAAGTTGAAAGAGGTCCTCTCACTGTCACAGAAATTGGGAAGGCCGTAAATAACCTGAAACGAAGAAGGGTAGTAGGCCCACAAGGGATAGTACCGGCAGTATTTACAGATGATGGACGAGGGATATTGGTTGAATAAGCCAGAATGCTAACAAGCGTTTGTAAATCAAATAAGATCTTTTTTGACTGGTCCAAATCACTGATCATATGAGTCGTCAAAAAGGAAGAGAAATCATCCTATAAAAAACCATAGAGGAACCAGTCTGATGAACAGTGTCTAAGACCCTAGGTCCCATAATCATTTGATGGCAACATCGAACCAGAAAAAAAAACAGACAGACAGCGGATTCGGACGTCCGTGCATTGGCTGGATCCTCACTTTCGATCAGGTTCTGGCACACAACCACAATTACCGGCACCCGAAACTAGCTGTATTCCTTGATCTGAACAAGTGCCGTATAAGTATATCATTCTGTTGAAGACAACCTATTCAAACACTCATAGGCGTTTGGTAGCCTATAATGAGGTATCACGTGAGTTGTGTACATGATGTGGTGGCAATCGAGAGTGGCCATTTTCTCCGTTCTTGTCTTCGTTTTTCACAGATTTGCTGAGACGTCTCTTTATCCTCGTGTGACTTTGTTAGGATTGATGTTGCCATACGAGACTCTATAGTAGACCTAGAGTAGGTAGATTTCACAGTTCTGTTAGATGAAGACCCTGACAATATGCACAATCTTCTGGATACATTGAGGAGAAGTTAGAAAGTGTGTTGGGATGCTTCTCTCACTCCCCAAATGCAAATTATAATTTGAGAACTTGCTTGTGTAGGCACCCCATCAAACGATAACGAGTTAAGTGGTTCAGCGCGTTGACTTCGTTTTCTTTGAAAGTTAGATTAACGATAGGAGATTCGTGACTGACAAAATGTTTGCACGGATATAAAATACCTCATTAACCTTGACTCTTTACTAAGGGTTGAGTGTACTGAGATGCAGTTCGTACTGTTCTATGTGGCTGTGAAATATGGCCATCATAAGGTGAGGGACATAAGAAAGCTTCATTTATTCGACAACTATTTCCTTTGTAGCACAGGCCATGTGTTGTCGCCAGGTCAGTAATAAGAAGGTCAGGCGTAGAATTTTAGGTAGAAGTTAGTTGATACCGTTGTGAACCCTCATCGACTCAGGTGGCTGAGACATGTGTTAAGCATGTCTGGTCATCGTCTACCCCGTCGCACCATGCTACTTGAAGTAGATTTAGGCTGGAAAAAGATTTTAGGCGACCAGGGTCGAACAAGACAACAATCAATTAAGCCTTTGACTGTTGGTCAAAGAAGTGTCGAAAAATGTAAACATTCTGGTTGGAGTCCACGTGACAACCGAAATCGGTGGTTAAAGACTCTAAGTGTTGATATGACTAAGAAACAATTCAGATGGTGTACATTGATCTATACATCATTTTGATCATAACTGTCACTATGGTTTAATTCCTTCTCCTCATGACTTCCCATCATGTTTGACTACTTCCCTCCTAATTTCTCTGTCTTTCACCATTGTCTCCTACCTTGATGAGCTTATATGAGATAGTCTTGATTATCTTTTTCCCCCATTCAAATACTCAAGTTATGTGGAGAATTAAGATACATTGTTTTTTTGGAAATGAAAACTTAACTCCTAAAGAAAATTTTATTTCAACCGAGTAAAACTGTCATATTAATGTGATTTAATAGGATGACAAACTTTTAGTGCTGCAATTTTGCGCAGTGACTTTATACGACATATAATAAATCTTCAGAAATATGGTGATTTAATGTAGTTTCTCATGCAGGATATCAGAAAACTACTAAATTCTACTCTTATGCTGCTGAAAAACTGTAGTTACAGCAATGTGATGCTGTAACTACTTATTATGTTTGCGACTCATACAATGCGCACCTATGAATATTTCGAAATGATGACCAGCTAACTCAAAGAAGTTAGATTAGTTATATTCAATAACAAAAAACGATGTAATCACGCTTAATAACACTTTATAACTTGTGCCAGGTATTGTTATACATGTGTCAACTTAGTAGTAGGTGAAAATTATACCCACTTACTTGGAGATGAATAATAAGATATTATCATTCACTATAATGAATTACGACTGATTAATTACTTGGTAAACCAAAAGCCTAGTTGAATTTCACTGCTTTTTGTATTATATGTTAAAGACATTCATTGAAATGCACAATTAAATGAAATTATAATGTATACAAGGTTTTATTTGGTTCAGGTGTGCATCATATACATATATTGAACACTCCAGTTAATAAGTACATTTTATTGTCTCATCAATCATCTCAACTTCCTTTTCTTTCTTTTACTTATTTATATAATAATGACTACATAATGATTACAGTTTACTAGTAATATGCTAATAGATGAAATAATTTATGAGACACCATTTCACATAAAAGATATACATGAAATACGAAAAGCTATATATAATGAGAGACCGCTACCTAGTGGTGAAATAAGACAAAAGGAACGTGCATGTTTTACAAAAGCCAACAATTATGCAACAACCTTTATTCATGTGAACTTGAATAACCCAAAACAATGCATTGAAACGGATCATGATAAATTTAACGTTAGGAAACATATTGAATCACCTCACAGTTCAATGATTGCTTACTCAATTAAACTGTTAACAGATGAATATGGAAATGAATGGAAGAATATAACAGGTTTCATTATAATTAACATCAAAATGAGGAGTTATTCAAGGACATCACGTGAAGAGCATAGTGAACAAGGTTGTGATTACTATACAAATGGTGAATATGGAGAAATTATGAGATTGGGTTTCCTAGAAATTGGACAAACTGATATAAAACAATACTTAACTAGATGGGAAGATCGTTGGTTGGCATTCCATGATGGTCACAGCGAAAGGTATGTCTTTATTAACGAATTCGATCGAGATCAGGTGACTCCAGAGAACATTATTTGCCCACCACATTCAACATCCCTGGAGATAAGTTATCATATTGATACAAAGCATTTAAAAGCAGCTGCTAATGATACAAACCAACTTTTATTGAATGTAACACTACAATCTCATCCAGCATGGATGTCACTTGAAGTAAGTCAACAATTTCCAATCAATGGTTCTTTTATTATCATACTATAGCATTTATTTATTACTGTTTTCGCAACTAACCAACAAGACATATGCATTGAGTAATGTTTCATGAAAAATAATAGTAATCATCATTATATGGTTGTGAATGTCAGAATAGACGAATAGAAATGATGACAAAAGTGAAAAATTGCCATATCTAATTTTTCAGGACTTGCTTCTACTTTTAATTCCCGATTATACAAGAATATGTTTCTATGTGATTGAATTTCATAAGGGAGATGCTGTTGACTGACATTAACTTCCGAATCCCGCTCCACCGACTTTCGCCTGGAGAACTAAATAGTATCGTAAGCCTTCATACAAAAAATGCCTTATTTTGACAATGGTTTAGTGTTTTCCGAGATTCGTCATCTAAGCTTTGAGAAAACCGAATCATTATCACCCTTCTTCTTTACTATAAGTCATCTTTAAAATCTCACAGGAGCCAATTATTTCGATGACACCACTCAGGCAATGGGTATGCAATAAAAGATACCAAACCTACAGACCAATCTTTTTAGGTTGGAGTTCATTATAGGTTCTGGCGGGGTCGTGGGTGCACACTGCTATAATGAAACAGTTGTCCAGTGCTCCCAGGTTTCCAATGTTCCTTTCCAACTGAAGTTAGTCCATGATGAATTCCAACCTAAGAACAAGCTTTTGTTTCATGGTTCCATGTGGTAAAATGACCCAATTAACCAATTTTTAGACCATCTTTGCAAGAGCAAACGATAATCCGTAAACAAAATGTTGTGATTTAAGTGTGACCTATGTTTTAATATTGCTCCAATGAACAAATAATCTTTCATGCTCAAGCATACATTCTTAGTATTTTAAACTGCTTGAGACAATAATACTAGTTAACTGATGTACACCATTGTATTGGAAGGGATTTGTGCAATAAACCAATGGGAAAGTGGTTAATATATCTATTTTAAATGTCATTTATACTTTACTGACAATAACAAGGTCTAGGTCAGTACAAATAATAAAACAAGAAATCCTTTAAGAAGCAACACTGAAGATACTTTGTAAACTCACTACGAAATGTTTACGCATAAAAAGAAAGTGAGTTCAGAAAGATATAAATAATAATAACTAAGACTCGGAAAAAAAAAGTTGAAAATGTTTGCTAATCTATTTCATACAATTTATAGGGTTAGCATATGAATGAACATACCTACAACTAAACTATCGACTGCAGTGTAATCAGTGTATTCCCCATAAATCGTTAACAACTGGGGACTGATATTTATTTTTAAACATTAGTGATAAATATTCTTGATTGTACCTACAACTAAAATAAGGTACAGCTCTACATTGAAATGCATGAGATAAAATCACTACACTTGAATAAAAACATTGACAGTATCCAGTATGTTGCCATTTAAGCTAAGTGTAGCACTACATAAGCACTACAATAAGTGAAGAGAATAATAGAAATTACACGCAAAACTACTGATTTCACATATATTGCTTGAACCGAATAGTGACCACTAACGTCAGTCACGGGACATAAAGCTTATATGGCAACATGCCGGATACCGATAGTGAACAAAAAATATGCAGATGGGATCAATATAAGAAATAAATGAATGCTAACATTAAAAAAAAACATGCAGAAAGTATCCACAAGTATGTAGAGAATAATAAGGCTAGTGAAATCAGCAGTTGGTGATCATTTAGAAGCTTTTATGTCAAATATGCTGAAAGGTAACAAAACTTTTAGGCATAATCATTAGTATTCAAACTACGGGAAGTAATTGCCGTTACTGAAGATAAGAAATTGAATTCGAATCAGTGTTCTTCAGGTTACTGGCTTACTGAGTGGACTATGATCAGACTGGTTCATAAGGTTAAAGATCAAGACCAATTTACTTGCATACACATAACTTCTCTCTATTAACAAGATCTTTTGAAGTGATGAGATGGTCAATGACACACTCATGAGATCTATTGTACCACTGTACCAAACATATGATAAAGCAAAGTGCTGTAGTAATAACAACTTTAATTCATTTGACATTACAATGTTACAATGATTTCTTCATAACTATTCTTAACACCATTCAACAGATGTTTACAGATCCAACTAGTGAAAATTGTCCAGGATGTTTTGTCAGTATTTACATAGATCGAAGAACAGTACAACAAGATATATACAGTAATTGGCTTGAAAGTGAAGAAGGCATAAACGACTGGAATCAAATTCAATATCCCAAACCGGTATGGGCTAATTATATAAACAGGCAAATAATCGTATTGTCCCAAAACTTCCATGAAAAAAGTGAACCAATAACGAGTGCACAAAATATCATGAGAAGGACACTAAGTATCATTCGACAGTTAGCCAACCCCATAAACATATCGGTAAGCAAACTACTTTTTCAGAGTCCACAATCATTATTCTCAAAGTAGAGGGAACAAAAGGTAGGATATGCAAACTAAAAGTAAGATTGATGATGACTGAAGACTAATAATAATAAGGAACGAATTATACCAAATAACCTGAAATCCACTTCTTTTATTAGCGGTAATAAAAGACATAGGAGCAGTTGAAAATGTTGCTATAACTATAGTTAAAATTATAGGAATAATACTGTATTCCTGTGTGCTATATCAAATAAACAATCTAATATAAAATATTACTAGAGCCCTAAAATATTCAGGCTCCTTTAAATGTCTTGGACAAAAATCTTGGTACGTTTGATATGTCGTTAGGTACTCTTAAATGCATCACTGGAATGCATCGACACTTAGCTTCAAGACAGAATAAAGTGACTGAGTGTATTAACTGATTCACTTATCCGAGTAATTGTACTAAACCTAATAGGCTAGTTGCGAATAAAACATCAGCACAGATACAAAAACCTGATTTGGTATCTGTCGGTGTATGCCATATTTGGCACATAATATATTCAACTATCTGAGAAGTCAGAGCAGTACTGCACAGTAGTTAATTCTGCTTTATCCTACGGCAATGGAGAGCAATATTTTAATGTAAACGACAAGTTACGGATGCCTTTAAAGTATCTCTGGTCTATCATGCATGATAGTCACTGGAAACTAAAAAATTTTACTCTATCTTGTCCTAAGTGCTGACCGAATTCTCTCGACTGTTTTTGAATGGGGAGACGAAGCTAAAAAAAAAACTAACTACTGCGGCATACTTTTGATTGACGTTAAGCGGTTCGAGGCAATCAGTTCTGGATGTATGCTGACAAGCTCGTTCCAGATACCCCCTTATCGATGAGTCCCGACAAGCATGAAACCTAGATACAGGTTTCCTTGCCGACTGCTTTCAATCGCTCAACATCAATCGAAACCAAAGGATTGTCCGATCAAGACAGATGTTAGTCACTCACCGGTGGTATGAAGCGCATAGAAAAATGTAGGCTCTCTAATTAAATTTCTTACGATTTTAGAGATCAATGTTTGGAGAAGCTCAGTGATATCTGTTTTCAAAGTTTGAAAAAATTTATTAGTTTCCGTTTTAACGCTTCTGAATTTTCTATACCCTTCCTGCTCATTTGAATATATCAACCTACTTTTGTTGACTTTTTCTTCCAGTTATTGAGAAATGCAGCATTGCCTACTATAGCCCATTCAAGCACGTTAATAACTTGACTTGTCTATGTATTTGGTAGTAACCATATAGTGATGACAAGAATCCATAAACCTTTGATTTCATGGCTGCAAAAAATGCCTAGGGGTAAGAAGTATGGAATAAAGACAATTCAAAATACTCAACCAAACTTATCATCACTGTCCACATTTTATCATACGTATAGAAAAACTCTTTGAAACTATATTTGACGGATATTGCCGTCTAAAATCTAAGTTTAACTAGAACCATATAATATAACATTTGAAGCTGATAAAGTTAAGATTATTCACCTTCTGTTTAAAAAACGGTCAATACGTAAATTGTAAGTAGCATAGGTAGCATAAAATAAGTCCCACTGACAGTGAATATTCCCTTATTCAGTGAAGTCTGATAGATTAACACAGTTCATTTTGTAAACAATAAATACTCTAAAAAATCGAAATTTGATCTGATAGAATGGGATAAGTTGAGCATAAAGAAAATGGTTCATCAAAGAAATATAATTGTAAAATCCCCGATACTGAGATTTTGTGGAAGCCGTATCTTTAGAGAATAAAGTTATCGCACACTTAAATAGTATATGGAAATAAAGCAGATCCTATTGTTCATACGCGCACACGAAAGTGATAACAAAGTGGGATTAAGTTCTGTCGTCATCAATTATTATTTTGAGAATCCAAGGTAATGTGAATGTGTGATCAAAGTAATATGAATGAGAAACTCAGTTTGTTTGAGTGGACATAGTTAATGGGTCTAATCTGTTATTTCGGATAAACCGTTCAAGCTGGTTAGATAGTTAAGCCTTCCTTTCTGTTGAATCCCTAAGATTTCATCAACATATCATGAAATGCTTTCGAAAATTATTTTCCTACTTCACTAGGATTTTAGAAATACGTTTTCTTTACAACAAACTAATAATTATGCACTTCTCAGTGAAAAAAGTTAATAATTCTCTGTATTCTCGATTATTTCTCATATTTCATACTGGTTTTGATTTATCGAGTGATTGATTTATTTCCTGGTTTCTTTTTCAACTAAACAGGTTGCAGTACTACAAGTTAATACCTACTGTATGTTAGGACAATACCAAGTTTACCACACACCAGCTGTATGTGCATACTGTCCACCAGGAACCTTTTCAATCAACCTAACACCTAACGAATTTCACCCAACGTATGCTTGTCAACTATGCCCAAAAGGAACTTTTCAGACTCTACCTGGTCAAGGTGCATGTTTGGATTGTAGAGGCGTAAGTTGAATGACGCTTCTAAACTTCAACTGAGTGAATATATATGCTACCAATGTACAGTTTTCATTTGAGGGTAAATATTTTCGTCACATTGATGGTGCTCCTATAGGAGCCTTTTAAGCAGATATTTACAAGCCGCGTGTTAAGAATTTATCTGAGGACTTAATTGGAAAGATATATGGGTAATATCTTAATCATAAGTGATGATCCATGTTACGCTATCTCAGTTCTGAATCGAATGAATGAAGTACACAATAGCATACTTTTAACAAGTGTAAAAGAGAAGGATAACTGCTTGTCGTTCTTAGACGTATTGATCAGTCGACGGAGATGGATAAATAAAACGAACAAACGACAGAAAGCCTATATGGACTGGACAATATTTAAAATGTCACGGTTTCTGTTCGATCCAATGCAAAAAAGGTCTGGTGAGGTACTTATCTGATCGAATTTAACGAGGATGCACAGCCGCTGAAAGAAGAGAAGATTACTGACAAAACATTAATCAAGAACAACTACCCAATGAAGTTTATAAGTCGTTATAAAGTGGACAGAACATAGAGAGATGCTATCAACTCTGCCCCAAAGAAAAGTATATTTATCAAGATACCATACACTAGTGATCTAAATAGCTTGATAGTTAGATAGAGACATAACGCTGCCATAAATAAAACATTATACAGCTAAGGTTCGGATAACTGAAAATTCGAACCGCATAGACTCATCGAAGCCCTTGGGACAGGTGAAACATCCCATCGTACATACGTGTGTTCACACATACGTAGATGCACTCGTCAGCCATTGAAAATAAAGGACAAAGAACACATTTCATACCGATTTCAAAAACAAGTGGTCACCTGACCCGACTGATGCTGGAAGAAAACCTTCGGGATCCTTAAAAGCTAAACATAATACGGAAATAAGGTATACAACGGGTATACATACGTCATTTAAACCCATTTGTAAAATCAGTTGGAGATGTACTTTCAAGATAATTGGAGCATTAGCCATTATGAAGTTTAAGCCACTTTCATGTGTTTAGAAACAATTTGTTATTACAGTAAACCTTCCTTGGTAAGATCGGCTTTGACTATAATCCTCTCTCAGTTTGACCATTTGAGATAGCCGTGATTTGGCAGACTTGTATTGATACTGGGCGGTGGCTAAAGGCGAAGTGAAAATCTGGGTCGCAGCAAGATTTGAACCAGCGACTGATCAGCAGCCGGACCTTGTAGTTCAGTTGTTACACAACCGGGTTCGAACTCTGCCACGGGTCAGATTTTCATTTCACCTTCGGTCATCACTCAGTATCAATATAGTCTTCTCATCTGACCGATATTCAATTTCCTACCTCTAAACAGTGTTATTTTTCATGTAAATGTCTATGGACAAGTAGGTATATGATCAGATTGTTAGGAATGTGTTGCGAAAATAAATCACACGATTCAGGCAAATTACATCTTAACACTTTGTTGAAATACATATATTAACCTGAGAAACATGTTTAAAACAAAAATTACTCCAGTCTTGACTCTTGGGTTTTGAAACTATTTACAATCCTTCTTTTCAATTTTTATAATAGCAATATACAAGATTTCTCAAAAGGTATACGTTAGTTGTGGTGACACTCCATCTATGCAAAATGGAGGGTAGAAAAAAGTAATGCATGGATAGACAAATTGAAAACTGTGTTGATCAAACATTTATTCGCTTGAGAATATCTTAATCATGAAAAACTAAACATCCCTAATGGTCTCAATACATTAAATACCACTACGAAAGCTGGGACACTTGAATTCATTGTTAGAGTAAAATATGACTAATAAGTTGAGTAAATCGAAGTGACTTTTTCATAGTTTTAAAATACTACAAACCTACTAATAATCCTTTAATATACTCGGAGGATTAATATAATGATGAGAAATATTGTTAACCTACATGAATTTTTATACATTAAAGGGTTCATCTACGAAAGATGAAGGTGCATGGTATGAAGATTTGTGCACTGGAAAGATAGAAAGAGATTCTGATCCAAAAACATTAAGGAATGAAACTTATACTAAAGGAGCATCACAAATTACTATGGAGATAAAATCATCATCATCATCATCATTATCAAAACCAACAACACACAACTGGATAGATGATCCTCCAGATGTAAAAATATTTCCCACAGAAATTCCGGTTGAATTAAGCATTGTTAGTACTCAACGTCTGGTTTTCAACATAATCTGCTTCTTACTATTATTAGGATGTATAATGGGATTTGTAATTATTTCTAAAGGATACATGTTAGTCCGTTTGACGAACAGAACAAGAGTCCATTTAATTGAACGCAGAAAAATGATGTTGGAAGCAAGAACATCAGAAGTTAGTATACGTAAAAGTGCAGTATCGCCATCGACTCAACGAATAAGTTTCGACAAAAAGGATTGTATTATCAAATCTGATGATGAATCTAGTAAATTTGACTAAATGCACATTGATGTTATGATTTTTTCCCAAGTTCAATTTTATGAGACTTTTTTTGTTGAGATCATGATTATGGTTATCAGTTCAGTTTATGTTTCATTATTTATAAAAAACCTACATCAGTGAAAAATGCTTTTTTCATTCGGGTTTCACTTTCCCTAGGTAGGCTGATTGTTGCTCCAGGATTAGTCTTCAGTGGTGCATCGGCTAACAATAGGAAGTTTAGTGCTTGAGTGTGTCGACCACTTCACTTAACTAGGAAGTAGGATCAGCCCTGGTGGCTCAGTGGCCGATGAAATCCCTGCACGGATACAAAAGGCTCGGCTGGCTCTTGCGAGCTTACGCCACCTGTGGCGTCCCCGTCATATCCGATTGTCTACAAAGGGTCGCGTGTACTGCACATGTGTTACGTATGCCTAATCATCGTCTGCCTCGTCACACAATGTTGGCCGAAGTAGGTTTAGGCTGGAGAAAGACACGAGGTGGCTAAACTAAAAAATGTCACCAATGCATGAAGTCTTTGACTGTTAGTTTGAGTCATGTGGGGGGATGCAGACAAGCCGGCTGGGGTCCGCGGGACAAGAGGAACCAGTGGTTGCAGACTCTAGGTGATATCGCTCAGAACCTACGTCAGTGGCGCAGGTGTATGCACACATTATCCTCATCTTAACTACGCTATACCGAATCTCACCACATTCTTCCTTTCTCTTTTCGTACTTTATAATTCTTTTGACTGAGTTTTCTTTTCGTTATCTTCCACTTCACTGCCTTTTTACTTGATGTACCGATATGAGGTGTGGCAACTGGGACCGTTACGCATTAATCCCTGGTCCTATGTTGATTTTGACGATGGTGAATGAGGATAACTACATTGTGGTTAGGCTATGAGAAGCTATTGAAAATATATAAAACTTAATCATGAACTAAAAATCACGGAAACCTAATCCACTTTTACGATTAAACCCTATGTAGAGCAGTTTGCTTGTATAGGGTGAGATGATAGAGGTATAAGGTAGATCACAAAGAAACTAAATCGATCATCAGGCAAAACTTCATTGTAACGAAAGTTTTTCTGCCTTCGATCAACACTCGAGAGATGTTCAACTTAGCATACACATATATGTACTGAGTAGCAACAAAATATATGAAAAATTATTTCTAGATTAAAACGCTTCATATTAAAACTTCCACAATAAAGGTACAAAATGCAGTAAAACCGATTGATCCTGCATTGATTTAAAACCATATTGAGTTTCCTTTGTTTTAAACGAAAAAGCGATTAGTTTATGTAACTGTGGAAAGGTGCAAGCTATTCATCCCCATATACAGTTATTCAAAGAGTGCATATTTATTGGATATTTACAGGAAGATGAAGAATAAGTTAATGCAATACATGTACTACGTTTGAATGTTATAATCATAAAAATGAAGGGAAATAACCAAATACCAATTAAAAATAAACTTCATTTACAAAAATGATTTTTATCCCGTTACAACCAAACAACGTGAACACACTTAGGATTTGCCACAGAACGTCTGATTCATACTGTTTTCATAAAACTCATATGAACAGATGGTGACATAGTAAAATTTGTTTTCTGATAGACAGAGTGACAAAACCGACGAAGAAACTCATACAGAAGTGAATTGCTTCATGTTGCCAAACTTCACAGCAGTACCAAAGAACGAGACAAAAAAAAAGGTGAAAACAAAGGAGAAGTTAAAGGAATCTGAAAATCAAGCTTAGTGAAAATGTTAAATCCTCCGAAGACGCTAAAGAATGAATGCATCTGCATCATCGTGACCGATTTTCAGACATTTCACCGACAATCTGCAACCATTGGTTCCTACTATCTCAGACTCCAAAGAAGTAACCTACATCCCACTACACCGTTCAGACAGACAATCAGAGACTCCATGAACCGGTGCCACTTCTTGGCGCGACCATCTTAACAATTCTTCCAACCCAATCCTACTTTGGCTAACAACGCACGTCAAGGTAGGCAGTGACCCAACATGTGCAACACAAATCCAAGCCACCTCAGTCGATGAAGGTTCACAACCTCATCGACTAACTCGCCTACCTTGCCTAGTACCCTTCACATTGTTTATACACTGATTCCACTGGTAAAAAACCTGTATTCTCTTTACATCTACTTTTAACGCCTACATTTCACAGCCATATTGCAGGAGAGAACGGACTACGGTGTAGTATACTCATCCTTCACTAAGTAGTCGGATATCGCGCCAGCCGAAGCCACAAATGACGTAATTTGCCTAATGGTGAACGGACCTTCTGTATCCAAACTGAGGTTTCGTCAGCAACTAGTGAACGTTTGGGCTGATGCAGCTCCCCAAGTGGACTAGTCAGCAATTTCTATAACTTTACTCCCTACCCTTAAACTGGGGGTGCTTGAAGATGAGTCCTGAAGCATCATCTTACACTTGATGAGTGCGAAACAAATACCAGACACAGCCAGATTTCTGCTCCAGATGTTCAGAAAACCCTGCAGTTCGCCAACGCCTTCATCTAGAAAGACTGTGTCGTCTATGTACTCAAAGTCAATCACATGCCTTCTAGGGTCCAGATCAATCCCTGTGAAGTCAGAGGTTCCCAGGGTTGTATCCATTAACATATAAATAAAGAAGATAAATAAGAACGGTGACAACAGGCATTCCTGGCAGACACCCCAAATTTTTGTCACTTCAGATGACAACTCTTCATCAACACTTAAATGTCTGCGTGAGCTCGAGTAAGATTTGGCAAAAGTTACATACTTGCATGGTACTCCCTTCACAGTCTGACACTGCCTCAGCACCTTACAGTCGACAGAGTCGAATGCCACCTTTATGTCGCAAAAAATAACAAGTATAGTTCATCGGAAAGTATTTCTGTGTTCCACAACCTGATGAAGAGTGAAGACTTGATCAATCCACCCTCATCCAGATCTGAATCCTCTTTGAAGAGTTGATATGGGCCAGTTGAACTGCTCTTCAAAGTACTTCTCCCACCCAACGTTCAAACCGTCTACCTTTAGGTTTACAGTCTCATCCTTTTTAGAGATGATATAACTACCGTCTTCCTCCCAGTATTCTCAGTAAGCCTAAATAATTCCCAGGTACTTACCACCTACTGCTGATGCCTTCTGTATCTCTCTCGTTTTCCCTACCTACCGATGATCGCGATCATCTCTAAGATGCTTGAGCTTTTTCGCTACTCACTATATGGAATGAGTCTTGCACCTATCATCAGTAGTTGGAATCCAAGTACACTAGTTTGATTACTTTTCTTTAAGGGCTTAATGTGAAATCAACTCAACAAACTATGAACTCACCGACTCAATTGCACCATGATGACCAGCCAGTGTGAAATGACGAGGTGCTAGCTCTTTAAACAACTCTCCAGATTCTAAGTCATAAACACTAAGCGCCAGATTTTTGAAATCCTGCCAAATAAGTAAGAAAATGAAAAAATGCAATCAATTTTTAGTTAACTAAATAAATAGATCAAGGTAAAACCTTGCTAAATGATAAATGTATACTCTTAATGGGGACAAAATGTAGAATGGCGGGTTGTTATAAGCTATAATGACAACAGATGTCAACTGAGGAGACTCATTGTTTATTGTTTTCAACGCCGGCTCGTTTGAGATATTCTTTTCAGAAAATATTTTTATCTTATAGCAATGATGATTCGTATGTACGAGTAACATTCGGCACACTATTCCGTTAGACTACTTATCGACACGGATATACACAAAAGTAATTTAGATTGTGGGAAGTAGAGTAAGTAAAGTCCAACAAAATTCACTTTAAAATCATCCAGATCGCAAGTGAACCGAATTACCTAAATAAAAGCATAGATAAATTTACCTTGATCATGCTATTTTCTTTTAGGAAAGATGACAAACTTATAAATGCATTTTCCCAAGTACCGACCATCAACTTTAGAATGGTTATACGTTGAACTATGTAGCAAATCGGGTGAAAGTGATGAAAATTGGAAAGGATATTACTCAATCATTTAAGACCAGGAGTAATATAATTTCGACAAAGTCCTGTGATAGTTCTTTTATGCTGGAGAAATTCAGTCTTTGACAAATAGTTCAACACGAAGTTGAGAAAACCCAAATCTTGGGCAGTGCTTGGGCTAATATGAAGATTAAAATCCAAATAAATCCAGTTCACTAGTGACGCACAGGTTTATGTACTAGGATATTATCCCAATTATTAGCAGGAAACCTTACGGAACTATCAAGATGTATAGCCTAAAGTAGTTAAAATTTGTTTTAGATCGGAACGCTAAAACCGTTAGTAGTTTTTACGTCTAATTCATGACACTTCGCAGTGAATATGCACCTGACTACTTAAACCTTAGTAAGTGGTGCAGGTCTGAAACCGGTAACCCTTTCATCGGAAGCTGATTGGCTGGACTAGAGCGCTGCAAACTCGCACATTCGTCAGTATGTTATGTTTCTGAGTAATATATAATACGCATGCTACCAGCTAACTCGCAAACCAAATACCATCAGCCATAAAACACCAGACGACAATATAAAGAAAGAAGACTAGTCTAAATGGGAAAGTTCGTGCCTCCGAAAATATCGAAAATAACACATGATACATAAACTTGTTCACAATTTCTAACATTACCATATTCAAAGCAAGTGTCAAATAAACTGCAAACTACCTTGTAAAAAGAAACGGGAGATGAACCACTAACCATTGCGGAAAAAAGCGAAAAACAATTATTTAAAAAATTAGAGGCTTCACTACACGTATGAAAACCAAAGTATAAACGTTTTCAGAGGATAAACAACTGTTTGTAAGTAGGAAATTACAAGTGAATCAGGAATAAGAGTAGAACATAGAAAGTGATAGTAAACAAAAACTAGTTTTCGTGATGTTGGCGGATAAAATCCAAACCTCCTACACAGAAATTACGGCAAACATAAATTGAATGGTTGAATATAGTATGCCAGCACTATCCCCATTTTTAAGTATCAGGTGAAGAACTAGTCAGAATCAACATAAGACCAGGTTTCACTGCACAACACTATAAGTTGCAACAACTATCCCTGACACTGACTGACAAGATCAATGAAGAACCTCACATACACGTGCATCCACTCAAGTTCCCACACAAACAACAGGTCGATAGAAAATTAGTGACATCAAAATAGGTAAAGCAGTGTCGGAACATACAAATTCCGAACACAACAGCTACTGAAAACATTCAAAATGTCAACGAGTCAATACATCTAGGCCATTATTACCAATTCTTAGCCATCTCAACAACAGACCCCAAACACTTATTCTTTTCCACTAACCCAACCCAACCACTCAGTCTACATCTACCCCATACAACTCACGCCAACAGTCACATATTTCATCGACTGCTGTCACGTCTTCGTCTCCGTCTCGTCACCCTCAACCCTATCTATTCAAACCTAATCCAACTCCACCCACTATACCACATCGAAGTAGATCATGGCTCAGCACACACAGCATATATCAAAGCCATATAAGTCAAATAAGGCTCACAACCTCGTCAATCCACTCGCTTGTCTTGCCTAGTCCACTAGTGTGCACATGACAAAATCAAACATCAACGGTGACGCTCGGCATCTACAGTCAACACCAACTAGTTGTCATCGATTCACATAACAACCATCTACTAACCATGACACCACCAAGTGAGTCCCAGTACAGAGCTCTCACTAGCCTTATGATATGCTTGCTCGCTACTCCCTTCACAGTCACATACTACCACAACACCTCACGGTCAACACACTCAAATGACACCTTCATATAAAAAAATATGCCAAGTTCGCACACTGGTCAGTTGGCATTACCCTCCCTCTCCTACAGAACTTATCACAAGGTGAAAATATGATCGATACACCTTCGTCCAGTTCTGTCTGAAACCTCCCTCGTCCTCTCAACTTTGCCATTCCCAACCTCCAGTTACGCCTCCGATAACTACGATCTTCCACACAATAGTACTCAAAACAATCACTCACTCTACGGTTGTCACAGCAACACTCCCACAACCCTCAACTTCTTATAGACTAGGATTGTCAGTCAAGTACACCGCTTCGATGCCACTACCTCTCATCACCATGAACTACGTAGAACCTTCATCACTTTAAGCACCAATTTACTACCACCATCCTTGAAAATATCACGCAGCAAACTGTCAGGTTCAGTGGCTTTCCATCGTTTCAACTTCGACACAGCTTTCTCAACTTCACTTTCGGATTCGATGTTGGCAAACTGAAGCTGTGGTGTGGCCCAGTTCAACTCTGCTTCAGAGTATTCCAACCAACGTTCTAGCCGCCTATCCTGCCAGCTTATCAGATTCTCATCCTTTTAAATCATGATTTCACTGACCATCATCTTCTACTTGCCGGTATCCTAAACAAACCCAAATAGTGGCCGAGTGTTACCCAAGTTCCATGCCATTTCCATCTCTCTCGCTTTCGCCACCCACCCAGCTCGTGGTCGACCCGAAAACGCTTTGTCAGCCTACGTCTGAGTTGCTTCCATTCTTCGTCGTGATCGGAGCCAGCCAACTCATATGAGCATGATAAGTAGCAAAGCAGTAAGATGAAAGATAAAGAGAGAAAAATCAGGCAGAAGCTGTAGAAATCAATAAAAGAGAGGAAGGGATAATGAGAGAATGCTAAATTGAATAAAGTAGTTGAGACGAAGATGATGTGTGGATAAATCAGCGCCACCGACATCGATTCTGAACGATATCACCTAGAGTCTTCAACTATTGGTTTTGTTGTCACATTGACCCCAACCGGCGAATCTGCATCTTCTAACATGGCTCAAACCAACAGTCAAAGACTTCATGCAGTGATGCCGTGTTTTAGTCTGGTCATCCAGGGTCTTTTCCAAGCCTGAACTTACTTCATCTAACATTGCGCGACGAGGTAGAAGGTTACCGAGCATGTGTAACACACCTACCAGCCATTTCATTTGATGAAGGTTCATGACCTTATCAAGTGACATTTCACTACTCTCAAAAAATCTACACTTGACTTCTGCGTTACTCACGTGATGATACCATGAAACACGGTCTATGCTTCGAAGATGATAGTGGTCAAACTCTAGAAGCCTTCTCATGTCCTCTACCTTTAATAGTCACGTTTTACAGCCATACCGTGGAACACGGAGAGCTGCAGCACAGTACACTCGACCCTTAATAGGCAATAGGATATCGTGGTCGCGCCTCAGATGGTGTATGTTGGCGAAAGCTGATCGAGTCTTTTGCATACGTGTAGATGTTTCATCGGCCACTGACCCATCAAGGCTGATACGATTTCCAAGGTAAGTGGAACGGTCAACGCACTCAACCACTTGACTCTCTATTGTTAGATAATGTACGGTTGAAGACCAGTCCTGGAGCAACAATTTGCATTTCAATGGTGAGAAACGTATCCCAAACATTCTCAAACTACTATTCAATGTGTCCCGAAGACTCTGCATCTTGTCAGCATCTTCAACTAATAGGATTATGTCACATGCATATTTTAGATTTACTAAGGATTCTCCATCGATTATACTAGTCCCTGTAATGTCAGATGATGGCAAGTAGACGTCCATAAGAGCACTGATGATAAAACTGGACAGGAATGGGCATTTGGGATGCACACCACTTGATGAAGATGTCGCCAACTAATGTTGGGGACTCCAACTACTGAGACTGGATCAATAAGGTAACATCACTAGCCTGTAGAGAAAAGATGTGGTTTATAGTCTTAGTGATTGATCTGCTATTTTATCCGTTAGAATTTGTATAGCTCATGTACTCACACATATTAAACCAATGACCAGGTTGACCATTTTTAATTGTTAAAAGCGAAATGTTGAATCATACGTCTCTGCCACAATGAATCAAATATATTACAGAATTCACTATAAAAAATACTTTTTATCAGAAACACTTTTGTCATTATAATACTGTTAAATACCATTGGGAACCAAAACTATAAAATGTAACCATAAAAACAAATGAAAATATCGGAAGTTAAAAGAAACACTACCTGATCTGGATAATGATGTAGTATGAATAAATATGACCGATTACTCAAAGTTCCCAAACATCCTATCATAGCCTGTGTGAACAAAAGAAAACTGAGTTTTAGAATACAGATAATCAATACAAAATGCACTGTTGAAATCTCTATGAACTGTATGCATACCATTCAGATTATGGCAGCAAACGTAACGTAACGGAAAGAAAAGGTTTGATTTTAATCAGTTATTTGACACACTGATACTATTACCTATTAAACATAATTGAGTAATAAACTGCCTATTGTAAACCAGTAAGTTTTTGTATATTATCAGTTTTGCCTCACATTTGTAGTGTAGAAGGTTTGTATAGATCAGTAACCGCAAAGAATTTGGTCTACACGAGAGTATCAAAAGAACAATTGATATCCGTCGCACAAGAGGATACTATCGTACCCCAGTGGATTAGTGGATAGCGATCTGGCGCTTGAAGCAATGGGTAGTGGGTTCGAGTTTCAATGGAAACAACACTCAATGGGATGCAGATACACTTGGCTGATGAGTCCCAAATAGGACGAAACGCGCGTCCTGGATTCTACTGCTAGTCATCAAGTCAATACATTGAAAGTCCTGTACAAAAACTATGATAATACAATTATCTGCCTATGATGTTCCAAAATAGCTATGATTTCATACGTCGTTGATAGATTTTAGTGTTCTAAGCTACTTTCACTGGGGGTGATATCTTAAAAGGGTTCCAGGAACGTCATACAGAGGTATATCACTCACTATGCAAATTATATTCCCCATTTACGCAATAATATATAAGTAAATGGGAAAATATGTAAGTGGATGAAAATAAGAACAAATGAGCATCAGTAGAATGTAGAATACTTGCCAATAGATTGCGAAGTTCACTCCATATCAACCATAATAAATTAATCATACTTACATTATCGACTGAATATTTTGCGACTGGAGTACCAGAGGAATTTATATAATATACGGCTCCACCAGTAGATCCCAGTGAAGAAGAGGTCAACAGAAAATATTCATCTGTTAACATAATCATACGTGGTGACACCTGTAAACAGAAGAGAAAAAAAAGAGACAGTGTATAATAAAATATTTGAAGCATATCTAGTAGTCAACATCAATCTATAGATATTCAAACCAAGTTAGGATTTGATAGTTTGAAAAACTTTGAGCATCAAATAAATGAAATTTATTATTTTGGTGTTTGTATTTTCCAATGAATGTAAAACAAAACAAATTTGAGGTTTTACTTTACCAATCAAGAAAGTTGATTGAATCAATGGATTACGGGATAGAAACCCGCTCCATTTACCAAGGTATGGGCAGTCACCTAGTATCATAAGTGTGAAAAAAAAGACCGACAAATGGTCATTGAGTTACATCAATTGAAAAATACTAAATATTTCTCTACTATGACAATGAAAATACTGCTTGTCAAAGCTTGCTCAGCGAGAGAAAATCACTAGTAACAGATGATAATGAATGAGAAAATGATTGAAATGAATGCTAAAATCAATGCTTTTAATTGGCTTTACATTTAACAAAAAGTAACTGATCTATAGTAAATTAGTCCTCGGTTAAAAAGCATGCAAATTCAGTTAAACCCTCTGACATCTACTTGCTACCTTCCTGCCTAAAAGTGTATCAAGAAATACAATCGATAGACAGTGCTAAACAGTATTTTATATAGCTATGAATAGTCTACTCTTTATCTAATTTCAAAACCGAATTGTTAGGTAAACAGGTTGGTGTAACGTTTGTTCACAATACAAATATCATCAATCAACCGATATGATTGATAGTTGACGACAGTCAACCTTTGCCAAACGAGAACATGCCCAATATTGTCTCACACATCAGTATATTGTATGAAAATGAAAACGATTCTTTTAAGCAGAATATGTAATTCTAGTAAGCATGTAGCCAGTTACACCATTAAAGCACTACTCTAAACATATAAAGGATTTGAAGTTGATACCTCTCACAAACAGATGACTATTCGGACGCGGTGATAGTGAACGGTGTTAGTTACCGTTTTACCGACAATACTTTGAGAAATCATCAATATGCCCTTCCGCACAAGTCAATCTTCCTATCTATCTCTTGAAGTCATCGGTATAAATTATAATGTACTGTCATTTTAAGTAGGCCTTATAGCTCTTGACAAAGCTCTTTCCATCTAAAATAAAGTGCGTAAGCGGAATATGATTACATAAAAATACTATATTGATGAGTCACTGGAGAGTAATCTCATGCTGTCTAGTCCAACTTTTGTTAGTACTGAGTTATTGGAGTCCCGATTTAGCTGTAGTGTTGGATGACTCGAACTCGTCTTCTGGAAGGGTATCCGTTCTCTAGAAGTTGTACATGCTCTTTTCCAATGAGTGCTAACAACCCTCCAATAGTATAAAAAACAAGTTATTCCCCGTTTTTAAACAACCTTGTGAAAATGGAAAGAGTACGGAGATTTTTAATCTGAATTCAGTCGATGAGTTCGATTGCCAGTTGGTATAATGTAACTCTGATACCTGGAATTCTAAGACAACCAGCCGTCGAATAATCAGATAATTGCTGGTTTGGTGAAGCGAAACAGATATCCTACCTTATTTCGTAAGTATGTAACCTGTGAGACAGCAAGCACTGAAGGTTGCTGTACTTCGGTGAAAGAAGTAATAAAGCTTGGTTTTCAGACTTGCTTGAAACAATGAAAATTGAAAAACTAAAAATTGAACTACATAGTACGAAGCTACTTTAATTAACAACTTGTAAAAATATTTTCTTACGGACAGTGAAAAATATTTAAACAAAAAACATACGTTGTTTATTGCGATAACATTCCAATTTAAAGATGATGATGACATGGATGAAAATCTAAGCCAATTTCTGCTACTGCCACCCTCAGAAGCTAAACAGACAAGAACGGCTTCAGCCGGATTGTTATTTTTGTTTTTATTATCAAATCCTTGATACAATTTGACTATGTTGCACCTTTAAAATGAAATATGATACATAAAAATGATCATTTCCAATAATTTCTTAAATAACATTTTATGATACATGGGTGGATCATGCATAGTAATAAAATTGATAAGTACTATTTAGAGAATAAAAAAGAAAGTAGAATTTTTAGGTTGGGATTCATTACGGAATGACAATAATTAGAGGAACACTGAAAGCGTGGAAGCCCTGGACAGCTGTTTCATCCTAGTATGGGGCTCCTCAGCAGTACGCACCAATGACTCCGTCAGGGATCGGACCCAAGACCTTCAGGTTCCGCGGCCAGCACGTTACCATTGAGCCAGTGGGTCAGAATCGAATCGTCCTCATTTCCTTTTTTCAATTAATAAACCTCCAAAAGCCTCCAGATAGAAATTAGGGCTTTGCTCAAAAGCCATTTCAATGGACGAAGAATATTCTTTTCGATAAATTCTTTTTCAGCTGCTAAAGATATACGTACATATTGAGGAATTATGCGTTAACAATATTAAGATCTTGCTAATCAGTTTGTTGATAACATACAGCTGAGGAAGTCAATTCAGATACGTAATGTATCAACATTAATGATAGAATTAATCATTACCGGGACTCAATGCGAAACAATTGATTATCTAAACGAGTATACGGCTTGTGTAACACTTTGAGGTGATAGTTTAGCAGAACGAATGAAAAGTGTTTATGAGAGCTGGATGAATTATACCAAGAAAATTTGAAGAATAATAGCTTGATAAAATTTTACTCAAAGTCGGGGAACAAAATAGGTTAAGAGAATTTTTTTCAAATATTTCAGATTATAGGGATGAAGTGGTATCTACAATATGGAATTAGAAAATTAGATCATTTGAGGTAGGATGTAAGTGAATTTGTGCGTCCTGAATCAGGTCACAGTAGTTGTATTGGCAACACCTACTTTTCTGAACATATAATTCTAGTTGTTTGATCCTAATTGCTACTGCTTCTGTAGTTTCAAGGATTTGGAGTTGCGTACTTTTCGGTAGGTGGTTGGGAACCCGGAAAAGAATATTCTTTGTTCACTCAAAACGCTTTTGAGTTATAATGGGAATTTTTAATGATAAGAATTTTTTTTTCGAGATAAGAGATTATCTAGCTTGATGATCTCTAAAACGTAGCGAAATGGTAAAAGGAAATTGAGAATAACAAAAGATTGAGGGGATATGAAACTGTCTTTGATCTATGAGATAAAGTAAATTATTCAGCAGTAAAAATTATACAGCAGAGCCTCTTTTTACAATCACAAAATGACAATTTCTGTGGCTTAGGTTATTCTCATGTGTTACTTAACTTTCTTAATGTCTTAGACGATCAGCCCATATCCCTACAATTCACATAAACTGAAGTTCTTTATTCTAACTCGTCACCGCATCTACTTAAGACATGAGTGAAACAATCGGATGTGCTTTTGCTAGTTCTTTATAGTTTGATGCCGTAATCTAAAAAATCTCTTTAAAGCCTTGTTAAAAACTGTCATATACACTCATCAGTCATTGGTGAATTCAAAGCGCACCATTTTACTTTACAAAAATTCCCACACTCATAGACACCTTTTTAATGTTAAATATGTATGATTTGATCATCACAATCCTTGCATATCTCATGTTATGAAATAACTTGTAAAATTATTTTCAGCCGATTGATTTTTCTTCTTAAACTGTTAATGACTCATAATTAGCGTTGAATATACACGAGTTTAGACCAGTCATGGGATGAAACGGTGTTGAATCAAACCTGAGAAGTCATTGGAACGATAAACATTCCCATGCCTCTATAATACAGACTGATACCTCACTTGACATCATAATATAAGAATTATTTCGTAAAAGCTATTCGACCTTCATTAAGTTTACATCATTGAAAAAGACTAAGATGCACTGTTGGAAAATTCATTTCAAAATCCTACATAAAAGTTAACTTGGTTAATGAAAGTGTCATTTCATGTTCACAGTAAGTCAAAAATTACAACTATTATGTAATTTATATTATATTACAACTAATAAGGTTTATTCAATTTGAAAACTGTGAATAGGTTGGAGATAAGTATTCAGTATAATCAAGCAGAACCAGTTATTAAACGCACATGTAAATGGAAGTCTACAGTTACAATAGCTACACTGATTTTTTTATTGTAACAGATGGGTTAATGAGGATGAAATGTTTTGAGAAAAGTATAAGAACCGGACTACATAAGTAAATTGTCATCCCTCCCTTAGTACATTGGAGATCTGACTTTTTTGAAATGTTTTACTGTAAGAGCCGCACTTCCAAAGATGACAAATGAAGGATTCGTATAACATGTTAATAGAAAACAGTCATACAGAAGAATTAATAAAGAAGTATATTATTCATCATTTGACTATTTGAGATAGCCGTAGTTTAGCAGACTAGTATTTTATACAGGATGATGGTTGAAGGTGAAATGAAAATTTGGACCGCAGCCGGATTAGAACCATCAACCACCGGGTTTCCGGTCTGATGGTCTACTAACTGAGCTACGAGGTTCGACTGCTGACCAGATTTTTACTTCACTTCAATCACTAAGAGTTTTGCCCGACTACTATGTGAATTCATGACACGTTACTACCACTTGGTAGTATTCATACTGGCTGCCTAGTCAGGACGCGTCACGAATTCACATAGTAGTCGGGCAAAACCCTCAGTGATTGAAGTGAAGCAAAAATCTGGTCAGCAGTCGGACCTCGTAGCTCAGTTGGTAGAGTATCGGGTCGGAAACCCAGTGGTCGCTGGTTGGAATCCGGCTGCGGTCTAAATTTCCATTTCATTTTCAATCATCACCCAGTACAAGTATATTATTGCAAAAATAAAAAGGAAATGTACTTTAATCACAAACAAGAAACCACATTGCATACATACACGTACATACATAATGTGATACCAATTTAGAAATGACGCAGTTTCATTTAAGAAACGTTCAATGGGTGAAAATCATAACTTTTTTTCATAATGAGACTGGTAAAATACTTATGATAATGAAAAAACAAAAGTACATTACAGAGTGAAATTAACCTCCAAATAAAAGAACCATATCCCGAGCAAAATTGTGAGTCACTACTGTGGTCGATCTCATGGTGATATACTCCTATGATGGAAATTTTATGACTAATTTTTAATAAGAATGGAAGGTCAATCATGAATACCATCTGGATACAACTAAAGTGAGCTTTCTGCAGGTAATCGAATCGAAAACTGAAATGCACTCAGTAACCAGGTGGATATTCGTGTAGTAGGTAATGAGCCATACCTGTTGTGAGGGCTACAGACAAAGCTACACAGTAGGCAATAGGAGGTATGCAAGTAACATAGTCTAGTTATTACTATGATTCGTCTGAACCCTTTGGTTTATTTTAAAAACCACTTTGTGAAGTAGACCTGTAGTTCAAAATATTGAGACAGCAGAAAACACAATGAAAATATTTCAAATGTATTTATCAATAGTAGGACAAGTACAAAACTTGTGCTACAAGAGAAGACTGAAAGTAGGAATGAGCATTCGTCAAATAACAAAAATCACTTACGAGTCTTGAGTATAAGTTGGTGAATGTATCGTGTAATTCTTAGAATTCATAGGAATTAACTGAGATCCAGAACTTGGAAGTGTGTATGTTTTGATAACAATATAGGACAACGCTGCAGCTCCACTACTATGACGTACGTCTTTATGAAAGTAATCCTCAACTATTGAGACTAAATGATTAGAATCCAATTTTTCAGATAATATATTTGTTCGACCAGCAACATCCGTATTCCTGGAAATATGCAATGAAAACCAAAATTTTAAAAATGAGTCTGCACCGCCTATGCAAAATAAATAAATGATTAGAGCAATAGCAGATGCGAGTGACACTGACTAATAAAATTAACGAAAAACCTCACATACACGTGCATCCACTCAAGTTCCCACACAAACAACAGGTCGATAGAAAATTAGTGACATCAAAATAGGTAAAGCAGTGTCGGAACATACAAATTCCGAACACAACAGCTACTGAAAACATTCAAAATGTCAACGAATCAATACATCTAGGCCATTATCACCGACTCTTAGCCATCTCAACAACAGACCCAAACACTTATTCTTTTCCACTAACCCAACCCAACCACTCAGTCTACATCTACACCACACAACTCACGCCAACAGTCACATATTTCATCGACTGCTGTCACGTCTTCGTCTCCGTCTCGTCACCCTCAACCCTATCTATTCAAACCTAATCCAACTCCACCCAATATACCACAGCGAAGTAGATCATGGCTCAGCACACACAGCATATATCAAAGCCATATAAGTCAAATAAGGCTCACAACCTCGTCAATCCACTCGCTTGTCTTGCCTAGTCCAATAGTGTGCACATGACAAAATCAAACATCAACGGTGACACTCGGCATCTACAGTCAACACCAACTAGTTGTCATCGTTTCACATAACAACCATCTATTAACCATGACACCACCAAGTGAGTCCCAGTACAGAGCTCTCACTAGCCTTATGATATGCTTGCTCGCTACTCCCTTCACAGTCACATACTACCACAACACCTCACGGTCAACACACTCAAATGACACCCTCATATCAAGAAATATGCCAAGTTCGCACACTGGTCAGTTGGCATTACCCTCCCTCTCCTACAGAACTTATCACAAGGTGAAAATATGATCGATACACCTTCGTCCAGTTCTGTCTGAAACCTCCCTCGTCCTCTCAACTTTGCCATTCCCAACCTCCAGTTACGCCTCCGATAACTACGATCTTCCACACAATAGTACTCAAAACAATCACTCACTCTACGGTTGTCACAGCAACACTCCCACAACCCTCAACTTCTTATAGACTAGGATTGTCAGTCAAGTACACCGCTTCGATGCCACTACCTCTCATCACCATGAACTACGTAGAACCTTCATCACTTTAATCACCAATTTACTACCTCCATCCTTGAAAATATCACGCAGCAAACTGTCAGGTTCAGTGGCTTTCCATCGTTTCAACTTCGACACAGCTTTCTCAACTTCACTTTCGGATTCGATGTTGGCAAACTGAAGCTGTGGTGTGGCCCAGTTCAACTCTGCTTCAGAGTATTACGACCAACGTTCTAGCCGCCTATCCTGCCAGCTTATCAGATTTTCATCCTTTTAGATCATGATTTCACTGACCATCATCTTCTACTTGCCGGTATCCTAAACAAACCCAAATAGTGGCTGTGTTACCCAACTTCGATGCCATTTCCATCTCTCTCGCTTTCGCCACCCACCCAGCTCGTGGTCGACCCGAAAACGCTTTATCAGCCTACGTTTGAGTTGCTTTCGTTCTTCGTCGTGGGTATAGCTGTTTAGAATTAGTCTTCTCACAGCAACCAGCTCGGATGACGACGTTGCGGAAATCGAGTGACGTTTTCTAACCTTTGGGTGCAGGTTACCAATTGTCTTTACCTCTGTTTCTACAAGACTTATTATCATGCCAGGCTTCCTCAGCGTGAGTATTGCTGTCACATTCAGATAAACGTCTAACTCCTAAATAAACACTTGGCATCCTCATCTACTAATGGAGCACAGGTGGGCCTCTCCCTTCTTTCCTGGGGCTAGTACGACGCAGACATATACGAGCCCCTATTAGCACGTGATCAGAAACTAAACTGGTACTCCAGAGACAACGACAATCCTACACCGACCCTCTTTAATGATGTTTTGAAGTTATGTGATCGATCCGTGTCCACTGCTGGTTTGAAGTCGGCGGATGCCATGTGAGGCAGTGTTTCTCATCATGCTTGAAATAAGTCCTGGCCAGAAACAGGTGACTGTCTGAACAAAATTGCAACAGACGATTACCGTCGTCGGTTCCTTGGTATGGGACCCCGTAAATACCCTCAAGATGCCTTTCCGATTAGCTCAGCTTACCTACTTGAGCGTTAAAGTCACCTGCCATTATGACTACATCAGAAAATTTTGCTTTCTGTAGCAAAACTGACAGCTTCTCATAGAATTTATCTTTTTCATCATCCGAACTGAAATCGGTGGGTGAATAGGCGGAGATTACAAGTAGACACCATTTAGTCTCATAGTCCTTCCTAGTTCTTACAGATCCATTTAGTCGAACAGCTCATAAACGGCTGTTGTCTAGTATCTATTCGAGAAGCCCACTTTCTGCTCCACAACCCAATGCTATGCCCACATCAGTAAGTCCATGAGAGGTAGCCATTAGGTCTCCGGATACTCTTAAGGTGAATTTAAGAGATTCGCTACTATGGTCAGGTGAGGTCAGTTTTATAACCACATCCAGGTCCTGTACACGTCTCAGAGACAACATACGTCCATGGCTAGAGATTTCAGTTTTGGCAAGCAATACTTGCTGTTCGATTTGGCATGGGAATGAGGTTTAGATAGCTTTGATCGTTGACAATGGTTGAAGAGTGAGAGGTTGGAAAAGGTGTAGAGAGCTTAATATTAGTATCAGGAGGTGAAGGCAAAGAAGGAGACAGAGTTGAGAGGGATAGGTTGTGTTTGATTGGATCTTATGTACTAATGGGAGTGTGCGACCGGTTGACACTTCTCGGCTGCCCAAGCTGCGGAAAACTATTTCTTAATATATCTGAAAGAAAAAAAGATTTGGGTGACCGCAGGGGCCATGGGACATCTGCCTGAAGTCGGTCACACATGGCCTCTTGGGAATTTCGAGATTTTATGTTTTCACTACTGGATTCGACTATGTTGGAAGCATCAGCATATTGCGAGGGGGTGGGGTGTGTTATTTCTGGGGCAGACCTTTTCTAACTCTCCCCCTTTCCACTGGGAAGGCTAAATCAGTGTGGCAGTGCTAGTCATTCACCTTACTGCTGTTACACCCCATTCAGCTAGCAGCAGTACGACTTCATCCTTAGACCCCTATCATAGTGTAGCAACTAACGCTACAACGGTAATTGCTTTTCGTCTTATCATTATCCAACAGACCTTTCTGGGACGGTAGGACCTCGAGGGAACAAGTATTCCACCAACATAGCTCGGGTTATTGTGATATGCAAACCCGACCACCACATCAGTGTAGCAGCTATCGGTCGGGAACAGACGATGTATGATTATAATAGAGACTGCTTTAGTGTTTCCAGTAATAAAAGAACAAACCGGATGCACGACGTTATCAAAATTATGCGGTAGTTTTAAATTTATCTGAAATGAATCAATATGGAGAAACAATGACAATTTGTCACTTTCAAATAATGTTTAAAAGTATAAACATAACCAAGGGTATGGGTATTGTCCCTCAACTACCACAACCTATGTTTCAGTGAAATGGCGGGATAGAGCAATTTTATATACTTCTTGAGGGAATATCTCTCGTTTTAATAAGCTTAAAACCATATTAGGATGAAGAATAATAAGTCTACGCACTTAATAAATAAACTGACAATATGCCTATACTGATAACTGGATAAAAATTATTGTCACCTATGAGTTATAATTGCTTAAAGTACCACTCAACAGCGGCAATTTACGTGACAGCTATGTTAAACGAAAGTACACAGGAAATGATTCCATACACAGTCAACGGACCTTGCCTCTAGATTGGCCTCGTCATAACCACAGAAGTAAGGGTACCCAATATCACAAACTGCAAAAACGGTGGCATAAAACCTGGTACAGAAGTTCTATATGTGCATACAGAGTTGTAAGCGAAAAATGCACTTTGTGCCACACTTTTTTTAGTGCTTGTGTGGTACCAAATTTATGTTCTCACTTAAACTAAGCATAATAAGTAACTGACTTGATCCAGAAGGAAATGTGATACAGATTAGCATTAAAAAATTAGCCAAAAAAGCAAACGGACCAATAGTGTAAAACCCATCACAATAATTTACATGTTTACACCAGAACACCTACTAGTAAAAATTGCGAAAAGGCGTGTGAAGAAAACGTGAATAGGACTCTATGTCCGTTTTCTTTAAATAGAATACAACTATACAGTATTATTATTATTAACCTCCCTTAGGTAACTAGTTCACCAGTTACTAGCCGGTCGTAAGCCAGGACAAAGAGGGAAGGTTGGGCATAGGGCTAGCAAACCTACCACCTAAAACCAATCCAGTCGCTAAAGAAACTTCAAAGCACACAGAAAATATGAAAATAATCTTATTTCTCGCTGGAATCGGGGAGACGAAATGACGCCGGTTGGAAAGTCTTCGGGAATCCAATTGTTCGATGTGTCTTCTCCCCCTCTGTGGAAGCGAAATTAAGGATGGGAACATGGAATGTCCGCACTATGTTTGAAGCTAGTTGGCAAGGCTGCCTAGATTGCAAAGTAGATGAGGTATGGCATACAAGTGCTAGGCTGGGAATCTGTGAAAGCAGATAGAATGGAAGTGGACTCTCCAAACTGTCAACTGGAGTGAATAATCTACTCCGAGTTCTGGAGTGGCTATCATGATGTCCCAAAAAGCATCAAAGGCTCTCAAGTAATGGAAACCAATCTCCTCCAGCATCAGAATCATGACAGCAAGATTGAACTCAAAAGAAAGGAAAGTCACAATCATTCAATGCTACAACATGCACCTAAAAATAATGCAGATCAAGAGAAGGAGGAGGAATTCTACAGACAACTGAAATCAGTACTGGACAAGACTCCAGTTGGAGACATCAAAATTCTACTGGGCGACATGAATGTCAAACTGAGAGCGGACAACACAGGGAGAGAACTCATCATTGGTCGAGAAGCATTCGGTGAAATGAACGAGAATGGAGAACTGTTTGTAGACTTCTGCGCATTCAACGATTTCGTGATTGGAGGCAGTGTGTACAAACACAAGGTTATTCACAAAGCGACATGGATTTGATTTCACCACATGGACACACTACACTTCATTTCAATCTCAAGAAAGTGGATACGCAGCCAGCCCACTGGACACAAGATCAGATCACGAAGAGGAGCAGATGTAGGATCAAACCACTCACCATCTAGTGCAAGGAACCTACCTTCAAAATCAGGTTGAAAGCATTCACAGAAGTTGGTAATAGGCCACAGTTCAAGTTCAACACCCAGAACAGAAAGTGAAGGACGAAACTACAAAGGACATCTTCACGTCAATCAGTCATCAGGACAAAATGGGAGACATTGAGCAACATCCCTGAAGGACCAGGCATGGAAGAACGCTGTAAATCTGTGGGAGCGACGTGAGAGGAAACCTGGATAACCGTGTTACGAAGGCAGAAGACAAGGAATGGATCTCAACGGACACATGGAAGCTGATAGAGGAGTGGAAGACGGTGAAGCAGAAGATGAACCAGTGCAAAGATTGACAACGAAAAGAACTGAGTACAACGTATAAAACACTGGACAAAGAAGTGAAGAGGAGTGCGCAGAAAGACAAAACACACTTTTACGACACACTGGTTAGCGAAGCAGAACAGGCTGGTGGTAGGAAAGACCTGACAACACCATATCAAATAACCAGGTCACTATCTGGGAAGAGATCAACTCAGATGAAAGGTAGTGAAATCTAGTTAGCAAGGAGGTGAAACAAATAAAACAATGGGCCGACCACTTCAGAAACTTTCGAATAGATAACCACCTGCACTTCGGCCAGAAATACCACCACCAGCCCAGCCACGGAATAACCAGTGAACACAAGCCCTCCCAAGTCCTGAACGCCATAAAGATGCTGAAACCTGCTTCCGGGAAAGCAGCAGGGCCAGATCGAATTCTGCCAGAAGCAGTGAAAACGAACGCAGAGATAACAGCGAACATGCCCACACCACCACTGCAGAAGGTTTGGAAGGATGGAAAGGTACCTGAAGACTGAAAGAAGGGCTACCTGGTCAAACTTCCAAAGGAGGGAGACCTAAGTTTTTGCAAGAACTGACGCGGAATCACGCTCCTGTCCACCCAAAGCAAGTAAAATATTATACCGCATCATCCTGAAGAGACTGAAAGGTGCTCTGGATTCAAAATTACGACCGAAACAGGCTGGCTGGCTTCAAGAAGAACAAATCATGTGCAGGCCAAATTGCAACGCTACGCATCATCATTGAACAGAGTATAGAATGGCAGTCAACTCTCCACCTCAACTTCATCGACTTTGAAAAGGCCTTCGACAGCGTCGACCGAGAAGTAATTTGACAGGCAACTGCTGCTTCAACACTACGGAGTGCCATAAACCTTTATCAGCCTCATTCAACAACTATATGAAGACGCCACATGCCAAGTAATTCACAATGGGAAGCTCGGTGATGCCACTGAAGTGAAATGAAGACAGGAGTAAGACAAGGTCGCCGCCTACTACCATCGATCATCTTCCTGATTGTGGTCGACTGGATCATGCAGCAAATCGTGAGGAGCTGTGAGAAAATGGGCATACGCTGTTTGACCGATGAAAAGATCGTACACGATTTGGATTTCGCTGATGATGATTTATGTCTAACGTCGCACAAACTCCAAAATCTACGGGCAAAAACCAACAAGTTGGCAGAAGAGACAGGGTAGCGAATACGAGACTTCCTTCAGGCGAACGTAGAGAGGACAGAGGTGATCATACTCAACCAACAACAACAAGCATCAATCACCATCAACGGGAGAAACCCAAAGGAAGTAGTCCTCACCTACACCTACCTAGGTAGCTTCGTTTCAACTACAGGTGGCACAGATGAAGACGTCAAAGCCAGGATCGAAAAAGCAAGACAGGCGTTCATTAGCCTGAAATCAGTGTGGAGATCTACTGCACTCAGCATGAGGAGAGAACAAGATCCAGATTTTCAACACTAATTCAGTCAAGTCAGTGCTTCTATGTGATGGTTCAGACACTTGGCGCGTTACGAAAAGCATTTCCAACAAACTACAGACATTCATCAACAGCTGCCTACTACGCTCACTTGCTTCAGAAGATCAGATGGCCAGAACAATAAGAATGAGTAACAAGGAACTCTGGGAACGAATCAACCAACAATCCATCGTCCAACAAACACGCAGAAGGTGGAGATGGATTTGAGTCATGTGGGGCGATACAGACAAGCCGGCTGGGGTCCGCGGAACAAGAGGAACCAGTGGTTGAAGACTCTAGGTGGTCACATGGCTCAGAATCGAAGTCAGTGGTGCAAATGTATACACACATTATCCTCATCTTTACTACGCTATACCGAATCTCACCACATTCTTCCTTTCTCTTTTCGTACTTTATAATTCTTTTGACTGAGTTTTCTTTTCGTTATCTTCCACTTCACTGCCTTTTTACTTGATGTATTGATATGAGGTGTGGCAACTTGGACCGCTGCACAGTAATGCCTGGCCCTATGTTGATAATGATGTGAATCATGTGGAGCTGTAGCTCATTGGTTTAGGTAGTTAGCACTTAACCAGGTTAAAATACTGCTAAGTAGTATGATTAGCCCTTCATGTGTGGTTTACTATCCAGTGCAAAAACGTGCACGTGGTCACTAAGCACATCTCAATTCGATTTTTACGCGAATATTGTACAAACTCCTATTTAAAGGATACATACCACTTTGCTGTGTGAACTGATGCGTGCTGTGCTCGAGCTTTAGTGAGAACAATAACTAGGATGCGGATGCATTAAGCTCTCGACTTTTTGGTAGGGAGAAAAAAATGTAACGGATTTTCTTTCTGACCACTGCCACACTGCAGAATCCAGTCGACTTATGTCCTTCCTTATCTAAGTGTGGATACATGTGCAATGAAATGGTTGAATCTCAAAAAAAATACCTCTGACGATGACTACAAGCCAACCTAAGGCCTTCGATCATCAGACTTCAGTCAGAGCCATCTGACAGTAAGGATCATAAGCTAATTAAAATTTAGAGAGCTATTTAATTCAGCACTGCAAACAAGTACAGTAATTTTAACTAGACTGTTTGGTTTATGGCTTGCGCACAACCGTCTACGGATGTTTTAAAATTAACATCAACCGTGGTAATTTATACTATACAAACAAGCCTTTGTGGACACTAAACATCAGTATCCAAAAAGTGGACAACCTTACATAACTTTAAGTAACACTACTTACAACAGCTATGGTACTTTCTTTTCTTGGTAGACATTGAATAAGCTAGAAGAAAGCACCTGGATTCCAGAGGTGCAACACTTGTGCACAACTGTCTAAAATCCACTATGTTCAATACTAAGCGAAACTAATAAATCCAGTCTATAACGACTGAAAAAGTTTCTTTGGAGTGCAAGCACGTCAATAAAAACTTAAGTCTAAATTTGGGTTTACACATCAGCAGACTAGTGCTCAACTAAATAAACACCAAAAAGAACAGCTTTTGGTATGAAGAACATAGAACTTTCACAGTTCACAACCATAATATCAAACTCACTTGTTTCTTTCAGATGATAACTTTTCACCAGTTCGAGGACGATAAACATCAACCCCACCATCATATACCACAACCAGAACATCTGAGAAGTCTATTACTGCTAAATTAACATACCTCTGGATCCACCACACCAAATATTCCCACTACAAGAAAAATGAGAATCGATAACAATGATTACCTATGTGACTCAGAAGAATCCAGTGAAGCCTCCCAAAAGATGCTGCCAGATTTTGCGTCCCATGCGCGTAGCTTTGTTCCATCCTTAGAGGAAATCGAGAACAACCCTAAATGCATGTATCAAAGACTATGTAAACTTGCTATTGTCACATAACTCAAATGCAATCAATGTGCCACCCTCTTCCAAAACCTGTCGCCAAGCTACGAGACATTAGACACTTGCAAACATACCGAGTGATCCGTCCTTTAAACTGACAGAACTTATTACATTAAGCTCAGAACCGATGTAATAGCTTTTCGGCGTGTATCCATCAAATCTTATTTTTGAGTACCGCACTTTCCCGGTGTACTTCTGAAGCCTGAAAGAATGTTACTAGATTCCTAGGACGTACCAATCAAAAACATTAACTTGGTCCTCATAAATAGCACTAACACCAAAAGCGTAACATATGAAGAGCAATAAGCTTGGAATCATGTTACAGCACCCAATAGGAAAATCCCGCCTTACGCGACATCCAACATTCAACATCAATAGTGAGAGTAGAGAAAACTTGTAGTTTTTGAGCTCTCGCTTCTAGGTCTTGAGACCCGGTTTTTCGAATTCGGTTATGCACCTTCGACGGTCGGAGAAGTCTTTGCGTCTTCCTGTTTACAGCTTTGGAGGTAGTGATTGTCTAATCGAAGGTATCTTGTTTGCAAATTGTAGTTTGGTTTGTTTTGCTGGAAGGGATGTGAAAGGAGCTTCTGATAAAAACAATCAACCGTTCGTAATTCCTACTGTTGTGGCATTTGCAAGTACGTGCTAAGCGTTACTTGAAAAGTGATAGAAACAGGGTGAGTGGGGAAAGAGAGAAAGAGGGATATGAAAAGATAAGTGTAACTGGTAACAACATGGAGGAGAGACGCGTCCCATCACAGACACTAGGGCTGATGAATACAAGCGTGGAGGGGTTTGTCGTCAGTTGCTGCTGAAAATCGTTCGTGGTAAGCCATTTGTGCTAATGTTCTCATCCAGTAGTCGTTTGAAGGAGTCGACTGATGTGGTTGTGGCCGCTTCCTCCGACACAGCGTTCGATAAGGTACATACTCTGTGGGAGAATAATTTAGATCTCACTCTCATCTTTCACCTATGGTAGGGTTTGTTAGTGGGGTTCCCACTGTCGGTTTCGGGCCAATAATGATGTCCCATTTGGGTGGTCCACTTAGTGGGTGATCGTGTTGGCTGTTATCAGGTCATCATCCGCTCTATTGTGACTGTCATCATCATCGTATAGTGTCTAGTTTTCCTCACGAAGTATAATTTCTCAAACATCATGTATATTCTATTGTACAGCCAGAAAATAAATTCATTGAAAAGAGTCTCTTTGCTGTATATCTTGTTCTTGATGTCATCAGGTCACCTCGTTTCCTTCGATAGCTTAGTGTGAACAAGTTGAGTTGTCTGGAGCGTCGCGCATATGTTTTGCCTGTTAGTCCGGCAACTGATATTTTCCCTCTCCTCTGTACCTTCTCTACGGTATTTGTGTCTCTTTAGTACTGGGGGCTATCGTGTTGAACACCCCTAGGTATGGTCTAACATAGGTTTCAAATACATTAAACAATAATTCTGGGGTTAAAAATCCAAGTTGATCAGGACTCCAGCTGCAGCAGGTCGTTTTGAAGTAACCTAGGATCCTCTGTGTCACTTATCGTCCTCCGTATTTCGATGTAATCGGCGAATACGATGATAGATGGGGAGATTTTAACGGGGAGGTCATTTATGAATGGTAAGGACGGGAGTCGTCCAATGATCGCTCCTTGAGAAACTCCTGTTCTTGCATTCCTCCGGCTTGATTGAATTCCATTTACTCCAGTGCAGAATCCTTTGTCTCCTAGGCATGCTGTAAACCATTCCGAGTATGGTTTAGTGATACCCACCTTTGCAAGTTTGGCGAGCATGGTGCATTGTGGGACGCTATCGAAAGCTTTCACCAAGTCCAAGAAGATAACGTGAACTGGTTATTTTTCGTCCCATGTGGTGGTCCAGTCATCCCAAGCAGTCATCAAGCTTATGGCACATGACCGCCCGGTCCTGAGGCCATGCTGGGTGGGATGAACGATCTTGTTTTTGTTCGGATACCCACGAGCAACATCTGCGACCAGGCTTTCCAGTGCCTGGGAAAGTATGGGGAGTAATGCTATTGGTCTATAGTCGCACGGGATTTCTCAGTCTCCTTCCTTGAAGACTGGTGAAAGGATAGCGTGTTTCCACTCTTTGGGATTTGACCTACTCCCAACAAGTGCGCGGACAGGTTTCATATAGACATGTTTGGCACTTCGGCACAGCTGCGTAGGACCACAGGCCTTACGCCATCACAGCCCGGCGGTTTCCTCATTCTGAGCGTTAAAAGCTTCTTAAACACTTGGTTTGACGGGATCTTCGCGTTCATCAGCTTTGTATCGCAGCCCTGGGGCTTCGTCACATTATGAGATGTCAGTAGTGGATGTATTGCTGCTCGACAGTTCCGCTATCTCACTGCTGTTCAAGGGTTCTCTGGTTGGCTCAGTGATCAGGTGCAAACCCTTATTCGTTGGTTTGTGTCGCGACACAAACCGGCACAAACTTTTCGGACTGTAACTTGACTGTTCAGCCGGGTTTCTCTGATATGTATACCTGTCACTGTGAATTCTCGTATTACATAAGTTGCATAACGTCCTGTAGCTATGACAGTCTGATTCTTCGCGTGGTGCACGCCACCGACACCATGCCTTCTTTTTCCTCTGCACTTGCCTTCGGTTGCGCGAGTTACCCAAGACCGTTTGAGAGGTGGTCGTCTGGTTAATTTTGGAACACTGTTTGCGATAGCGCTGCAGATAGTATCTTTGATATGTATCTAGTGTTAGTCTACCGATGGTGAGTGCCATTCTTGTGGCCACGCAGCCCCCAGGAGTTCGTTGCTTATGAGATGGTAGTCTACTTTTCGGTAACGCCAGAGCGCTTCTGGTTCAACTATTTGCAATGTCTCTTTGGTTATCAGAGAAAATCCCGCCGATGCATGGTCACTTATGCCTAGGGCGGTGGTTGAGCACAGATATTGTCCACCAAAAGATCATTGTCTGTTGGAGCGTAGTCGAGTGGTGATCCTTTTCCATCTGGTCCCCATCTAGTGTTTTACATAGCCTTCTAGATCAGTCCTGCCGCGATAAACGCATTTCGAAGTCTGTGTTTGAAGGATTTACGCCTATATCTTACTTCACATCCCGGATTGAGTGCTGGTGTGTTAAAGTCTCCAGCTAGGACTACACGGTCGAAGGCTGCCTAGGTAGTTGTTGAAAGGGCACTGAGCAGTTGTTTCTTATGCTCTGTCGCCAAAAGGGTAGGCCCATATACCACTCCTAATGGGCGATTTGGTTCATGGTGAAGTAGCACCACAAGGAGTCTGGTAATAGGCTGAACGTACCGTCAGCCGCTTCCTTGACTACTAGATGACGCTAGTATACGTGGAAAACTCCGCCCTTTTTGAACTTCCTGTCCTTTTGGAATAGGGCTATGTTAGACAAAGATATTTCCTCATCCACGATTTTTTGCTCACAGCTTTGTCTCCGTAATGAGAGTTATGTCTGCTTGCAGATTGTGGCACATTCTTTTTAGCTCCGGTAGTTTACCCCACGACCTCTTACAGTGATATAGAACCACGCCAAGGAGCTACGTTCTGGGTTTGGTGAGATATGGGAACTTGTTTGGAGGCTGGTATGCCGTTGCATCGGATTCTATCAGTCCCTATTGGAGTGGGCCTACTTACGCCGCTGGCAGGCGAATTTCCAAATCCCATTTTTTTCCGATATTGACGCATGCTATGCCTAGTTTGACAGTGTTATGAGGACCTTAGACGATGGGGTGTTGCTGCACCCATCTTTTCCACGAAGACTAGATTCTGTCAGCCTGCAGACCTCGTTGTCTGATTGACAGCTTGCGATCTCATGTTTTCTACCGTCATAGTTGAGTGGTTTAATATACTGATAGTGTAAATGGAGAGGATAATAAGGCGTAAAGCAGATAGCTTTCCAACGGGAACTTGGTACCCGCTTTCTTTCACTTTGTCAGCGACTTTGGCTGCGTACCTCAAGTGCTTATGTAGGGACCAAGAAAGATACTTCCCCATTTATGGTCTCTGAAGAGAGCCAAAAACTACAGCATTTGAACGGTTCAGATGCCTACGAGTTACCGGTAGGAAGTACTTCCAAGTTGGGAAGGTAATTGCGTCGTTGTTGGTAACAATTCTCGGATCCAGTTAACTAACTGAATTGTGTTCACTGTCACAATATGGTTGACGGCTGTTTTTCGGTGACAAACACTGTAGTATTGCCTCTAGACTGGAGATGAACAAAGCACGACGTTATTCAAATGGCATTCCCTCATTGTCGAGGATAGTTGGCCATTTGGAACACGTTAATTCTTGCAGCAGGCTGCTCTGTAAAGGTCTAATCTGTCCATTAATGCTTTCAACGAAGAGGCTGATACCACCTTGCCGGGCTGGAAATGCCAGTCGTAGCCCACTCCGTGTGAGAAAAATAACCTTACACCAAGCTGCATCCACCCAGGTTTTTCAATCTTTTTGTGGTCAACCCTTAAGAAGAAGTGAGGCATCTCATTCCTGAGGTTGTCGTTAGGGAACACGGCATTCTGTTATTAAATCCACTACTTAAGATAGGTTAGTGGGAAAAGATCTGGTCTCCCTGAACGGTCATCATAGGATCGACTAGCCACTGACTTAGTTCCAAGTGTATTAACCCTCTCAAGTGCTTTGCTACTCCTCGGGGAGAAAGGACTCGTCGCTCGAATTAGGTATTCAGGTTGGAGTCACGCAAACTTAAGATACGGCATCTGAAACAAGTCTTCATCGAGGCACCTGAATGCCCTGTGAAGAGACCAAACCACCCGATTGCGACTCACTTGAGCATCAAAGTAGTGCATAGACACCCCCAAGCTGTTGTTGACCATGACTCTCGGGCCCTTAATTTCCTAGACATCAAGTGCCGGCAACCATGACAGCCGGTAGGACCAATGTGCATAACTGCACATCGCCAGAAATAATTTCAAGACGCCGATGCTTGGATCGATCGCCTATTGAACTAAGGTCTGCTTGCAGTGCACATCCATATTTTCACGTTGTCGGCAAATGATAGCATTAATGGCCTGATCATGTAGAGTTCATTGGCATGGAGCAGGAAAAGGAGGGGATACGGTTACCTCTCCTAGGATGTTCACTGGCCCTCGGTGGGGGCATTTTTGGTGTTTCTGGCCGGAACGATAATATCTTCATCCACTGCGAAGAATGGGGTGATCGGAGGGGCATTCAGCTTCGGAAAGGCTGCATCCAGCCAAATCCTCGTAACTCCTGATAAAAGAAATTGAGGGACAATAACGTCGCATTATGTTCTCCTTTAAGTCCCTTAGAACGATCACTTCAAAAAGTGAAACCATTGGGTTTTTTAGTTTATGTACAGTACCCTCCGGCCAACCAATTAGTTGCACAGTATT